CCAACAACGTCAAGACGGCCGTCTGCGACATCCCGCCACGTGGCCTCAAAATGGCCGTCACCTTCATCGGCAACAGCACCGCCATCCAGGAGCTGTTCAAACGCATCTCTGAGCAGTTCACTGCCATGTTCCGCCGGAAGGCCTTCCTCCACTGGTACACCGGAGAGGGCATGGATGAGATGGAGTTCACAGAGGCAGAGAGCAACATGAATGACCTGGTGTCCGAGTACCAGCAGTACCAGGACGCCACGGCCGAGGAGGAGGGAGAGTTTGAGGAAGAAGTGGAAGAGGATGCCTAAAAAAGTAACGCAGCACGTGCTGAAGAAAGAAAAGAAGTTAACAACCCCAAAAAAACGCAAAAAAAGTGAAAAGAAAAAAAATATTGTGATATTGAGTGAAGGAATGTAGCAGAGCGAGAAGCATGGGGGTCTGAATTGGTTAATGGAGGGAGGGAAACAATGGGGAAGAAATGAGAAGGAAGGTTGAATGTAGGCAGAGAAGTGAACGAGAAGCGGGATGAGAGACTGGATAACAATTACGTGACCAAATTCATGTGCCATGGTTTACAGTTTATGTGACGCCATGTAGGCCGGTTTTTACCAAGACTAGCCTCCCAAAATCTTTTTTTACACTAAGATCTTGTCTTGTAGCAAATGCACAAATGAAAAGCACTTCTTACACTTCACTTTCATCACATAGGATTGTCTTTTACTGTTTCCTGGAGACTAAAAAAGAAAATATTAGGAAAATGGTGGCGGCTTTGTACTGTGAAGTTAATTCCTTCAACAAATGTGCTAAATTGTTGAATTACTTATTTTAAATACTGAACCTACATTCACTCACACTCCATGCAAGCAAGCTTGTAAAAATTTGCCAAATATTGATGTGACATTACCTCTTGCATGAAAAACAGTATTTTTTACATTCATTGGAAAAATGTCATCTTTGTGCTTCTTCACTGATCTGCAGTACAGAGTTAGATGTTTTATTCCAAAGGGTTGAAACATTTAAACAAGGGTGAAGTCAAAGAATGTCAAGTGTTAGAAACCCTATAAATGTGACTTAAATTGTTTTAGGGAAAACCAGGCCAATAACCTTGAAAGTCAGCTTCAGAAATAAGAATAATGCCATTATCAGTGTTAATTGCTTTTATCAGTGTTCATTGCTTTTGCTTTTTTTTGTCAGCTTTCAAGACCCACTCTCAGATGAATGTGAATTTGGGTAGTCGGTGGAACAATACTGTCTCCTTTCCTGTTAAACAAATGGAAAGGCAGCTCTCTTTTCACGATGTAGTAACATTAAACTTCATGGAAAAGAAGAAAACTTGTGTCACTCAGCTGAAGGCAGCCGTCGGTTGTAAGTTTACGTCACAAATCCTCATAATCAGGTTATTGTTTTCTCCCTTGAATTGTAACTTTTATTCAGAAACCACAAAACTAAAAATGTTTAGATTGTCAATCAAATCAAAGCTCTGTTTTATTGGATTGTGACAAATAAATTGACTTCAGTCAGATACATTTTCACAGTTATAATGCAGCAGCAGCAGCAGCAGTAGCAGGATTTTTCCCAGACGCCAGCCAACGTCATGAGGAGGATCACACACTGCAGATGCCCAGAACTCAGGCCAGGCCATGCAAAGCATATTAGCCTTAGCCTCTAACTATTTTCCATTTCATACTATTTGGGTATGTTTGATTCAAAAAGACTTGAGCTCATCTTGACTATAATCATCTTTGCTGCTGTTGGATTAAAACCATTTCTTTATTAATTCCATTTCCCCATTGGTCCTCATAAAATACATTGTATTTGGATTCAACTAATGAAAATATTAGTGGTATCCCAAGAAAATACAACTAATCTGCATGTTGAACCTCAGCTTTGAGAAGGACAAACTGACAAGAAGGAGCAGTGAGATGTATTTTAAGTATTACTTTTCGGAGAGAAGTTAAAGAATTCATGTTTTACCTGTTTTTGTTTTAACTTTATCTCATAACAGTGAGAATTTGCAGCATTTTTGTGCATCTAAAGCTCACTCTCAGTGTCCAGAAATGTTCACTTCAACAGCTCGGCTTCTGGTGCTTGTGTGTATTTGACATCACACCAAATCATTTAAACATTTTATGTTTTACAGTTTCTTGAAACATACTTCAAAGATAGCATGCTTTTACTTTTTGAAGAAAAAGTAAAGGCCAATTTGCAGTTTTATATTTCATCCTATAACATGCGTTGTCCTGTGAAGAAGTGCAAACATTCTGGTAAATGTTTACACTCTGAGCCACTACAGTATGCATTCGAATCAGTCCCTTGTGTTCAGTATGTGATCTTCAACTGTGCTGTCTTTATGTCTGTGTGTGCTTTATTGTTTGTTAGTACCTCTTTAATTCCTGTGGAGCAGTTTGACTTATAGGATCCCAGTGACTGTGAAACATTTACGAGGAATAAAAAGGCATTGGCTGGGAAAAAAAATACGATTTTGTGTTTGTTGTTATGGATGAACTTATTTTTGTTTTTTAGTATCCAAAAAAACATCTAACATCTTTCCCATCTCACAAACATTTAATATTTCAGTTGTTCAGTGAATAATTCACTGTATGGCTTCAATGAAAGGTTATTTTCATTATTATTTATTAATATATTGGTTTTACCCCATAAAATATGAGGAAATTGTGGAAAATTTCCATCATACGTTCCCAGAGTCCAAGGTAACATATACTTGTTTGTCAGGTCTAAACCCAAATATATTACATTTATTATGATGTAAAACAGAAAAACAACGCAGGCAGCAGCTGAAACCATAAATCAGGACCTTTGACGGAAGTAGCTAACGTTATAAATTTACTGCAACCAACATACTCTTACCACTTAATTCCTAAAACTTAGTTTTATGTTGTCTTTCAACTACAGATTGTACTGCACGGACAATCATCTATTTTGTTTATTTATAACAATTCATTATCATGATCCCAGGAATAATAATCTGGAGTTGTCTTTAAACCAGCAGAACTTTATTCTGAGTTACACATCTACAGATATTCAGCAAATAAAAAAAAGGAAAGATTTTAAAAACAGAAATATAATATATATATGTTCATTTTATTACTATTTAGATTTAAAATCTGGGAGGAAACAGAAGCACTGATCCCATGCCAACACAGTGAGCACTCTGTACTCCTCAGGGCAAGGAGGTCAAGGCCTGAAACTGAATTCTCACCTTGCTGCTGTGAGACCTGAAGTCCTACTACATCCAGGTTGAAAACACAGCACAGAGTGTTCAGCTGGATATGAGGTGGGACTTTAGGTCCCACAAGACCCTTTTCACAGCAGACATTGCACATGTTGTCAGTGTTTTTTCTGCCATGACAAAGTGTCTGCTGTGAAAAGGGTCTGTCCCACCCAACCGCCCTTTAGACTGCGGATGATTGCTCTTTGCAGTCACATTTGCAGCAGGCAGTAAATGGCTTGGCCATGGTCTTGAGACTTAATGCCAGGCTTCTTTAGTGGTGTCACCAGATGCTTCTTTACGAACGTAATCATATATTTGTAAATCAATGTATGCTGTGACAGCAGACCCACTTGCACAGTCCCTGCACTACCCTGTAATCAGCAGTTCTTTTCATGATCTGCTTAACCATAGCCACCGTAAGCCAGCAGCAGAGTTCATCCCACTATTGGACTGGGTGTGCTGAGGCCTCACCTGCAGCTTCACCAGTTTCATCACTGATACCGGGGTCATCAGTGTCACTTTCCTTTGCCAAGGGGCCCCCGTGAGTGATGGCAGACTTACCGCCGCTCAATTAATCTTACTTAGAGCAACACTCACACAGTCCCTCTTTCTTTCACGCTGCTGTATCTGCTGGTTGAGCCAGTTCCACATCAGCTTCATTAGTGTTCACTTAGGTTTGAATCTCAAAGCAAAAGTTCACCCTGAGTATTTGTCTTTCATGGCCGAATACTATCTCACTCATCATCTGTGCCATTTCTTATATTCTGATCTCCCTCTGGTGGGATCTTCTTAGCCGCGCAATTTTTAAACACTTTCCCCACGTGTTTGACCATTGTCTTTAATCTGTGGGTGACAGAACGGCAGGCCGGCAGTTCACTCAACTCGCTGCTGCCTCCACAACTTTTGCAGAGCTCAGAGTTGACCCTCTCTGTCTCTGTTTTGAAATAAAAAATATAAACAACCAAAACAACATATACTTTCTTAGAGCATTTCCTATGATTTAATCCAAATGAATGATGTTCAGTTGGCCTGTATATCAGCATTTTGTTCATTTCCATGAAGAAAACTGATTGAAATTGTTATTGTTATAGTTTAGATTGTCATTATCAAGGTCTAAACTTTGAAGACAGAGACTTCACTCAGGCTAAACACTCTGGTCTTGTATTAGAAATGTATGCCATTAAAAGAACCAAAGAGCTACTAGAACAATAAGAAGGTTAAAAATTGTTAAGAAAATAAAAAAGTAAATGATACTTACTTATTGAATAAAAAAGGACCCTAAAACATTCATGGAAGATCATCTCTGATGCTCAACATTCTTCCAAATCACTTGTTTCTCACAACCTTCCTGCAGTTATTGCTGTTTATCAGTTGTTCTGTACTGTTAGTGTTATGCATTTAATAAAATATGAAATATCCATAAAATATTCACTGATTCAGGGATTGTCAGGAAAAAGGTTGGAAACCACTGGCTTTAAGGAACTGTCTGCATATTCTGTGCTGTGTAAAGGTGCAAAGAATGGCCCACTTTAACTCACTCACTTTACCAAAAAGGAAGGATTAACCTACAACTCAGAAGTGGTGATAAAATAACTTAAAATAAGTGGAAATACTGACTGAGCCGCACAAACTGATGTGTGAGGTATCCGGGCTGCGTAAGGAGGATTCCCCCCCTTTAACGATCTGCTTGACCAGATAAATGAGCACCAGACTGGAGAAAGTGTGTGTGTGTGTGTGTGTGTGTGTGTGTGTGTGAGTGTGTAGACCAGTATTCGCCTGAGGATAAACTGCAGAGCGGCTGCTTGTGGCTTCAAGCCACATTTCACGATCTTACCGAGGCTTCCCGAGCACCGCCGATCTCAGAAGATCCACAAACCCGACACCAACCGAAACTCTCCAGTTACTCCCGATCCGTCCCCATTGAATCTGCTGTTGTCGGGTTGGGGGTGACGAAATACTGTACATGAAATAAAGAAAAAAAAAAAGGCGATTTCCAGAAACCATCACTCCAGAGCCCCTCCCAGTCCAGGGATTTTCGGATTCGAGGCTTGACAAAGGTAATTACGTCCAATTATAATTATATATTACAGCAATTGGTGTTTTTCTCAGTATTCCCTTCAAACAGGGAGATAGTGGGTTAAATCCTGCAGTTCTTTCCTTTGCTGTTTAGACTATTTGCTTATTGAGAGGCAGTGAGGGATGCGTTAGGGTGTAACCAACAGCAGTGGCAGTACCTACAGCATTCACACAAGAAGAAAACGATAAAACGGTATCAGGGCAGATAACCGCGGGATAAACTTTCTGAAATACCCGAGAAAAAACGATCAAATTCACAGTGTTCAGAATCCTTGCAAGTATTACTCAGACGACACAGTATTTAATAAGGTATTTGTGCTCCAAATGGCCTTCCTTCCTTCCTTCCATCAATTTTGGGTTCATCCTGTAAATTCTTAAAATCTTCCTACTGATGTCTTGGAAACTGAAATAAAGCTGGTATTTACACTCTGAGGCTGATAACCGGATCACCAAGTGGTTTTAACGCACAGTACAGTGCTGGTATTATGTGTGCTGCATTATCATGCCCCTGTATGCGGGATATACCCGTCTGAATTAGGGGGTATTTTCTGGTCCATCCCGGTGGAAACGGTTACGCAATGTGGACCCACTTCGGCGCTACGGCACACATTAAAAGCGCTGACTAAGTATTTGTCACATAGTCATTCATGGAGCGTTGGGTGAGCAAGATAAGGGATGATGCCTGTTTCTGATGTCATATGGATACACCAAGTTATCTTAGATGGGAGGTAATACACCTAAAACTGCATTGGCTCAGCGATGGTATGGCCGCTCCAAACCAAACTGGCAGAAAGAAAGAGAGAGAGAGAGAGAGAGAGAGAGAGAGAGAGAGAGAATGCATGCTTTATTTCCAGACATAAAAATAAAATCATTATATTATGCACACTGTCTGTAAGTGGCTGACTGTGGTGATGAATCCATCCCCAGCCTCTCTTCATTCATTGTCATTCTCCCCCTCTCATTTCCTCCATCTTCCATTCGGATTTCTCCGTGATGGGACAGCCCCGATTCATGCCGGTCTTTCTTGACACACCCTTGGCTGCACCAGCAGCTGCTCCTGGCTGCATGGGCTGCGTAAAGGGTGAGGAGGGGGAGTGGAGGTGGAGGTGCAGAGGAGGAAAGTGCAGGGGACAAGCGTGTCCAGAGAGGGGACCCACTTTTAAGGTGGCTCTGATCTCAGTATATTTACATTAAAGGTTCTATTATTGAATTAACTACATGTGACTATTTGCATGTTAAAAACAGATACATAGACACATAGGAAAACCATAAAGCATTATGAACATCAGGACACTAATGCTAACTAAATGCTGTAAACCTCAGGCTTATGAAATCCACAGTTAGCAGCAATAACACAGAGAGAACTCTTGAAATAATTAAAAGAGAAAACATCATATCCGCTGTGGGTTAGTATGAAAGATACTTAGTTTTAGGGCAGTACTAGTCCAATATATCAGCAAACCAGTCTGACCATAGGGATGAGTTAGACAGATAATTAAAGGGAGAAAGATAAGAAGGCAACAGAGGAAAGACGAGGCAGAACAAGAAAGAATTGTTTCAGGGGAAGATAAGAAAAGAGAGACATGCAGGGAAGCAGAGATAGAGAGAAGCAGAAATATGAGAGAGAAAATCGTGTATCAGGAGGAGGATAGAGGCATGATGCTACCGCCCTCCTGGCTCGTGCGGGAGAGGAGAGATGAGGGGGGAAAAGACTCTTAAGTCAGTCAGGATGGATGTCAGGCTGATGAGATCAGCCTGAAAGATGTAACCTCCATGCCTCTCACCGCGAGGAGGCTGCTGGATGTGTCACGAGCACTTCAGTGAAAGCTGCGCCTCGTACAGTTCGATTGATGTAATTGGCCATAACAGGAGACAGGAGAGCAGTGACCTCATTTAGAGTCTGACTTTTAAAATGGACATCACGCCCTGAGCCAAAGGACCGCTGTCACATCTGTATCTCAAGCTTCTTCGCTGATGCTTTTATCCAGAACACCTGCCGATGAAACAACAGTCTGTCAATATTTTCCCCTTTAATTACAACGGCACAGAAACTTTCTTTTTTTGGTTGTAAGAGGGGGAAAAGTTCAGCCAGGATAGGCCTCTTCTTGGCCTACACTGCTTTCATTTGTATTCTTTAGACACACAACCACTACTCTGACTGTGCTTCACTGAATAGATTTTTCACGTGTCAGTTTTTGAATGCATGTGCGTGTGTGCGTCTTGTCAACGACTTGCGGCATGACCTTTATACAATGAGCAGCAACCTCTCATTTTCCCGTCAGATGTATAGTTGTCTCCATCAATGAATGAAACCTGTGATTTACGTCTTTGCAGCATCCTCGGCGCGAGCACTCACACATTCAATAAGCTAATGGCTGTGTAGGACATTAAAGCAAGATGATTCAAACCTGCTGCCCAGGGCACCGATTAGAATATATGTTATGATTACTGTGTTTTGCTAAAAGAGCCTCTTCTTTCTGCCCACTTTAATGCTAGGGTGTCATTTGGAAGTGACGTAGATAGAAAGTAGATGGGCTCTTTTTTTTTCTTTAAATAGCACTCTAATCCCTCATCTGAAGAAGCTGGCAGAAATTCAATGGCTTTTTATTGTTCTCTAAGATGAAGTGATTTGCTCTGTTCCATAATGCTGCAGTGGATATAAACAGGAAAATAACTTTCCAGACTTCATTATTTGGGGCAGAACTGTGGAACTTGATGTTCATTTTATAACTTTTTGTAATATAGCACATATTTACTTCCTTTATTGATCCCCCATAGGAGCAATTCAAAGATGGAGGTAATATTATTTTAGTGAAAACATATAATCTACAGGCTTTTTGTAAGATGATCATCTTTTCTTTTTAGGTCTACATGGGAGGCTCAGAAGGTAAACACATTTTATGGGTATATCGCTCAGTCACCTACAGTGACTGAATGAATGCATTGCTTTTGCCCTAATTCACTTACCAGGCTTTTTGAAGTCAGCCATCCCATTAGGGCCTTTCTGTTGAGACAGAGGTCGGAAATGACTGGATTGCGAGTTGTTGTCAAAGTGTCAGCCTAATTGTAGGTGTAGTGTTGAGATAGTGGAGTTGCCCTGCAGATGAATGCACGCCTTGTCAGCGTTCAGAGTAAACAGATGGATTTGATGTGAATGCAGCATCTGGAATTATTTTCACAATGTCACACTGTCATATTTTCTTCAGGCAGTCTACAATTAATATAATGCTCACATGCCCTCGTGTACACAGATATTGGTCGCTGTACTTATTCTGGCTCTGAAATGACTCCTTTCAAACTTGATTCCACTAGTTAAGTTCTACTTGAGTTCTTTGAGAAGAGCAATTCTGTTTTCCATTAAAATCTCCTTCTCTTTCCAGCTTTTTCTCTCTTTCCCCCGCCATCTATTCATCTCATTTTTCCACCTTAATAACTCCGCATTACTACTGCTTAGTCTAATCCAGTGCAGTAGTCGTGAAAGGTCAAAGAGTCTCCTCATGCCAGCTGGCTCCTGTCCATGTCATCGTCCCAATGGGATGACCACATACTCTCCTGCTCTCTCTTGTACTCTTTGTTATAGCCTCTCTTCCTTCACTGTTTCTCTCCTTTTCTTCTCCCCTCTCTTTATTGGTTTTCTGACCTCCCTCTCTTCCTTCCTTGCTCATCCCTCTCTCCGGTTTGTGGTCATGCGTCATGAGTGGAGAGCTGATTGACTCACACACACCTCTCTCTACTTTGAAGACACTTCATCTATGAAACTTGGGTTAATAGTGTTTTTTACTTTACAGCAGCCCTATAGATTTTCTTGTTAAGGAGTGCTGGCGGTGCTCTCCCTTGGGTATTTGAAGAGCTAATTTGTGTAATGTTATTTGGTGTAGCAGGTGGGTGTAGAGCAAGAGGGGGAGGGAACTTCTCTTCAACTTGAGGACACAGATTGAAGTTGGCATGCTCCTACCTTGCAGAGGTGTTTTTCAATTAAATACTGAAACCAAATTAGCAATTCATCTTTACCTTAAAGATACAGTGTGTAACATTCAGGAGGATCTAATGGCAGAAATGTAATATATATTCACAACTATGTTTTACTGGATAATAACCTGAAAATAAGAAACGTTGTTGTTTTATTACCTTAGAATGAGCCTTTTATATCTATAGACGCTACATCTGCCATGTTGAACCACCATGAACCAAACACCAAGGTATTGAACCAAACACTGGCTGTAGATGAGACCTTTCATGTTTTCCGCAGCCTCCGTAGTTTCTCACGCTTGGAGGGTGAATATAGGGGGTTACAATCAGCCAATAACCACCAGATGCCACTAAATCCTACACAATGGTCCTTTAAAGAAAAATCCTCATGTCAAATATCATCCTCTCTTGATATAATTATGGCATGTATCTATTTTTAGAAAGCTGTGATTTGATCCTTTGGAGCAATTATCATGATAGAAAAAGCTTTTCTTATGTGTTGTGTATTGTTTCTGGCTTTCTTTTTCCCAGAGAGAGACTATTCAAGATGAAAGTAATCAGCGCTGCGGTGCTTAGCGCCCTGTTCTGCACTGGTAAGCACAAACCTAATCAGTCACTTGGGAGCAGGTTTGGATAAGTGAATGGCTAAAACTGACTTCCTGCAAATCTGAATTTGTTTCAACTGAATGATTAGCATAGAATCTATGAAAAGCACACCAGAGGAAAGTTTAACTTATTTTGTGTATCTATTTAATTTCCACTTATTTGCTTTCCTTTATTTTCTCAGGATAAAGTTAGATTGTATTTATATCTGGTCTATTTTTAGCTGTCATTATGTGAGGAATTTACATTTCAAAAAGTGTTTTTTCAATAAGAACAAAGGAATCCTAACTTATTTAGAAATCTTTGTACAAATCAGCAGATAACTAAAAAAAGATGTTTTTTTTAAAAATAAACTGCTCTCTATCTTTTCTCTCGCAGTTGTGTCAGCATCTTTGAAAGGTAAAATTGAATGTTAATGTGGATTTCAGTGCATGACTAGGAATGCTTTTTGAAAATTAACAGATTATATGCATGGTAAATGATATAGTGACAGTAGGATAAGGTTCAGTTCTGGTCAGAGAAAGAAATAGCAGGCAATCTATCTAATAAAAACATATTGATTGTTTCTACCAGTCAAAGAGGAAAACAGGACAGCCTTCTTTGGGGAGGACATTCACATCGATGTGCCAGATGGGAATGCTAGTGAGGTTGTGTTCAAACCAAGGACAAATCGGTCCTCTGAGGTGGTTCTTCTGCGAGCAGGCCAGTTGTTGAAGCCACGCAACCGCATCAACTCCCTGGGCCACCTGGTGCTGGAGGACGTACAGGAGGAGGACGAGGGGATGTACATCATCAAGAACAACAACAACAACAGCACAGTCAAGCACCTCATTCTCATTGTCAGGGGTAAGCTGTCTGCTGCACTCTTATCTAGAGGTGGTGAGGTTGAAGAAAGTGTCCCCCAGCTTGAAATTTTCAAGCCCTGTCCTACTGTGGACAGGGGCGTGTCCAGAGTGGGGGGCCCCAATGCTACTCCACACTGTCTTTCAAAGGCTGTAGCAGGGTCTGTTATAAAGCTAGTGGAGATACCGGGATCATAGAAAACTAGATGACCTAACACATCAAGTGGTACTGAGCTAGCATGCTCAGAAGGTGGTTACATAATGTTCCAAAGTTAGGCAAAATTCTGGCAATGGAAAAACTGGCAGGGCCATTTTGTTGACCTCTGGGTTCTATGGGTACCTATGAGTCTTCCCCTTGTATACATGCCCACTTTATACTAATCCCATGCAGTTTTGGGTGGTATAAATGTGCTATTTTCTAGGCAGCGCTGTCCATAGTACTGAAGCGGAGTGGAGTAGATCGATAGACACATCACTGGTTTGCTTTTCGTGGTTATAAACAGAACTGTTTCGAATTCTCCCATCATCTACAGACAGAAGTGAAGGGACAGTCAGCTGTTCCGTGCTTTCTCCTGCTGATTTTGTTCATAAAGTTAAAAAATATTCTCTGCCAGTGATACATTCTTATGTGAGTGCTCTGATTGATAATGTATTCTTTCATTTTGAAACCGTAGCTTTATGTTGTTATTTAGCCTTTTTGAAACCATTGCATTGGAAAATCAATACATATTATTTTATGAAAAAACTGCCCCTTTGCGATTTTTAACAGCCCTCTCAGTCACTTCTTCCTGGCGCCTGGCCTGATGTAGTCTAAAATCATAGTTTTGGCAGTGAATAGTTTAGAAAACTGGTGCGCAGGGGGAGAAATGTTTGGATCATTTCTGGAGGAATACAAACATATACAGATTCTGTGCAGTCCCAAAATACAAACCGATTTTATCATACACAGTCACCCCAATCTTTGGCATTAAAAATACAATTATACTCCAGTCAACAAGCTACTTTTATTCCTTATCAGCAGTATGAAGACTACTCAGCTTGGCTAGCAACTGAATTCTTAACTAACATGCTGTATGTGACATCATATACATATAATGGATATTTAGGACACATATATGACTACATGAATAATGTTATATGTTACATAAGATTTAGTGTTAAAGGACCAGTGTGTAGGATTTAGTGTCATCACGTGGTGAAGTTACAGATTGCAACACCTCGACTTACCCTCCCATTCCAAGTGCGTAGGAGAAACAACAGTGGCAGCAAAACTCTTGAAAGGCCCTATATAGAGCCAGTGTTTGGTTTGTCTGCTCTGGGCTACTGTAGAAACACGGCGCTTCAACACAGCAGACTCCGTAGAAGATCCCCTGTAGATAAAAATGGCTCATTCATGGTAATAAAAATACAGCAACTCTTATTTTCAGGTGATTATACACTAATGAAAACATACTTATGAATATTATATTCCTTTTCTAGCAATAGATCCTCCTAACTGTTAAACACTGGACCTTTAAGGAATCATGCAACCAATTGTAAAACTGTTTAACCATTGATACACAACAGAGTTGATCTGCACACAGTAAGTTTCACCACATCATGGATAAACTGTTTTTCTTTTCAGACTGTGCTTTGGAGCAAGTGGTGAAGTACGGAGAAACTTACAGCATCCATCTCAACCACGTCGATGGCCCCATCACCTTGGAGTTCAGGTACGGTCAGTGAAAGCGAGACAGAAAGAAGATACAGATATCTGTAATCAATATGGAATCATGTTTGTTGAAGATTGTCACCGGATGTAGACTGTGGGTCACGGCATTCTCCTCCCCTTCCCTTATCTGTGTGTTAGATTTAAGAAACTACAGGCAAGAAACCTAAACACTGAAAATAGCAAGTTATCCTAACCCTAACTTGGTTGCTAACAATATAAACATAAAGAAAAGGTAACACCTTTTCTTTTCCAGGGAGCCATTTTAATGCCAAGTCTCTCCTAATATATATATTCCACCAAAACAAATCCCAGAGTGTTTTTCCCCCCCTATAGCAGAATGATACTGGGTTCAGCCAGACCTTTCTCCAGTGCTACTATGGTGGATGGAGAGGGAGGATGGCAGGTAAACAAGGGGGATGCATTCTGGTCGTTTCCCACCTCAAAACAACTTCTGCCTTCAGCTATATACATTAGATGTGTTTCATTGCTTCTCCTTTTGCATCAATGTTAATCTGTGTGGCCACACCCCAACCAGTGGTGTCACAACACAATCAGCAGTTAGAGGTAAAACACCTGCTACAACGTCTATTAGCTTGAACAGGATTTACACTAATTGCTCATGGGTTATGTATTCTCTTCTTCTCTATTTGATTTTTAACCACGTGAAGGTCCAGTCTGGTTCAGGCCAATCAGACTGAGATACAACATGCAGCAGAGCCTCCACCCGTGGTGCTGTACAACCAGACAGTGGTGGCAGAAGAATATGTTGGACGCCTCAGTGTGACAGAGAAACGGGTGGTGCTGCACTCAGTAAGGATGACAGACGAGGGGAGCTTCACAGTGCTGGACCGTGAGGGCAAAGTCCGGATGAGGAACTGTCTGAATGTTAGAGGTGAGGAGAGGTCTGTGCTTTGCTGCATCCTCTCAGCTTTAATTGACTGATCTGTCAATCTCATGTGCATGTGTCGTAATTCTGGTGTTGTGGGTGTCTTAGTGTGTCCTCTTTACGTGCAGTGGGAATGTACTGAAATTAGAGTCACTGTCTGCATTATCTCATTCTTGAGTGTATTACCTTTAGAAAATCCTAATGCCTTAATCTCAGAAAAGCTTGTAAGTCTTCCTTTAATGTATTTAAAATGAGGTTAAACCACCACCACCAGGGATATTGGTCGCTGCAGTACTAAAGAATAGGATGTGGATAAAAATATATCAAGAACAAATTTACTTCATTGAATGTTAGGGAACAAAATATTGTAACTAAAGACTGAGATAAATCTGCTTCTGTATGCTAAACAACAACACATGGCTTTAAAGGGATAGTTAGCATGACCACAGTTTGGAGAAGCAGACAGTAGTCCCGGGATGGAAACAGAGCAATACACTGCTGTGGACAGGGGCTGCAAAAAAAAGGTGTGCACTATATTAAGAATATTTTTACTGCATCACATTATTATTAACACATATTACACTGCAGATCAGCCATTTGGGTCACAAGCAACAACCTCCTGATCTGCAGTGTAATACAATGCGCGGCACAATTGGGCTTATGTATATCACCTACATCTGTTTACCTTTCTTCCTTTGGTTATCGACAGAGCACCAGAACTTCTTGCGCACAAACTATGGAGGAAACCTAAAGATGAAACTCTACCTGCACCATTCCAATGTGAACATTGTCTACAGGCCCAAATCACACAATCAGGACCAGGTCATCGTGGACCAGGGGGTTCTGGTGACACCACTGGACCCTCTGCTGGAGGGCAGGCTGGTTGTGGAGGGATCAGAGCTCATTATGAAGAAGGTCCATGTGGCCGACTCAGGTCTCTTCAAAGTGACAGACCTGTCTGGGTATCCTGTGGCTCATGTCTACATAGAGGTAAACGGTAAGAGAAAAAGACACATTTAAAGGACTAACATGCTGTATTTTTCTTCTGATCTTGCTTTGTTATGAGCTAACATGCATTCTACATCTCCTGATACAGTACCATGACCACATGACCATGTGTTTTCAGGCCTGTAACCTAGCAACCTTCTGCTAAGCCACACAAACTAACAACTATTGAACAAAGATAAATTGTGATTTCTTGTGTAAAGAACCTCTAATCAATTTTTATATCACTAACATAATGTAGTGCCGGTAAGAGCAACGCATCTGTAAAACATGTTATAAAACAGTGATACCAAATCTGGTCCACGATAGGCTGACTGGTGGCCCTCCGACCATTTTCCTATTCATAATAAAAACAGTTTGTTCTTTGAATGTTTGTTTACACCGACTGCTAAATGTTTAATAATGTCCTTTGGCTGTTACTGGGGAAGTTGTCCATAAAGGATATATAGGCACGAGTGAGGACAGCAAACGTTTGAAAGGTTGACAATGAAAACAGGCAGTTCAATGAAAAATGTACAGATTAATTTGCCTTTATTTTTCCACCTCATTCCAGTCCTGTGTTTAATTTTCCAAATGACAACTGCTGTCATGAGTCAAAACATGCTAAAATTATGACTTTGAAGTTGTCTGCCAAATCAATGATGTAAATGTTAGTTTTATGTAATAAATATTATGAATATTTTATTTATTAGCCGGTCCCTAGCCTCATTTTTCAAAAGTGGTGCCGGAGCAAAGCAAGTTCAGTGTCCTTGTGATGAAATATAAATACAAGGAGTCTGGCACATCCTTTGTATGTGCCAACCAAAGCTTATGTGCAAAAGTTCAGAGCCTTTCTGAAGCAAATGAGATCACAAGTGTCAGTGAACCAGATCAGAAACATCTTTTAAAAGAGTTATCCACTGATTTAGCATTGCCCTCCTGTATCATTGTCTGACTCATGACGGACAGTTTAAAAAAAGAATCAAAATCAATGTGGAAGCAGAGTTATCGTCTTTTTCATTACACACATTTTTCTTCCTTGTCAAAACCCGGCCCCTTCATTTCCCACAATGCAACACTGACAGTTCTGTGGGAGATTGTGGGTTATGCTAGTCACAGCTAATGTAGCCTCAGGCAGAGATGAGCAGCGGGTTACAGAGGTCTGCTTGGCTCACTTCTTTTTAACTCCACACCCCCAGATCTTTTAAATTTAAAAACATGTAGTGTTAAAACCGGCGCTGAGAATATTGATCACCCTTCACGCAGCTCCCTCTGGAGCCACAAAAGCCTTTATACATTTTCACATATGCAGTAGGACTCCCCAAGACCTGTAAACAGACTTTAATGTGTAAAATCAATGGAGTTCCCCCCCTCCATCCCCCGAGATGGAGCAATATTACAGTATATTGGTTTCTTATATGTTATGGAGTGATTTTAACTTTGCAACAGAACTTTTTTGTGTTGAAGGTTAGCCATAAATGTAAATAATGAAACTGTGGTATGATATCAGTTACACAGTTTAGGGATGTGTGGCATTTATGTGCCGTGGGGGAAAAAAAAAGACTAATGCAAGAATTCAAAACCTTGAAATATTGAAGAAATTGAAATGCCTGACTGAAATACTCACAAGCTCAACATTTTAAATGATCAGCTTCCTGCTGCTAATACACATGCATGAGTGATTCACATGATAACAGTGACTTCATTCAAATATGAGATTGCCATGCTGTAACTGATAACCTTTCATCTCCATATCTTAAGCTGGTACAGGGTAAGAAATGTAATCTCTAACTAGATAACAACCGTTATAAGTTAACATGCTAATTAAAACAAGATTCATTTTGAACCAGAAACAGAGATAAAGGATGAGTAGCTACATGGCAACACCAGATTGAGGCAACAATTCTGCAGTCACAGAAGACTTATTCATTTTCTCTGTGGCTGTTTTTGTTGTCTTCCCTCTTCTTGTCTCCCTCTCAGCCTATAAGCTGCCTCCGCTGACTGTAGCCATCCTCTCCCTGGTGGGCCTGATCGCCTTCATGCTGCTGGTGTGCCTGCTGTCCTGTCTCTATAAAATGCATAAGAGGAATGAGAAGAGCAAGAAGCTGATGCTCATTGCTCAGCAGGCTGGCAAGGGAGACGGCGAGGCTTTCAGACAGGTAACACCCACCTATAGTGCATGATCATTATTCTTCATTTCTCGTGATGGAGGAATATAGTAGGGTCACAGAGTTAGGTGTGTGTGGGTGTGTGTGTGTGTTGGCTGGCAGAGGATTAGAAGGCAGAGGAGGGTTCTGTTCCTGCTGTGGGAGTCAGGATGGTCAGCTGGTAAAGTTCCTCCCCTGCAGTGCTGGACCTGGCACACGTGTTTACAGCCAAATAGACATCAACGTGCCTGAGGAAAAATTACTGCTCTCTTCTCTCACGCTTAAGCCCTGTTTACACCTGTGATTAACATGCGTCTTGGGTCGGATCTCACTAAATCATCCAGTTTCTATTTACTACTGGTTACTCTCCGGTTCGCCATCCATGAGAATCCATTTTGCCCTTTGTTGCAGTTTCTTCTTGTTGTTTTAGAGGCTGTTGGGACTGTATGAGAATGTATCAGAGTGGTTGGCTCTGGCCGTCCCCATCTTGGCAGTCCTGACTCTGACTAATCCAAAAATGGGCAAAGACGTGGAGCGTGGGTGGAGCTGAGGCGGGCTAATTGAAACCTGGTTAGTGAAAACAAACGCCTGTGAAAGCACCCACCTATCACTCAAAGCAGCCATGTCCTTAATTATGCATAAATGTAAGCCTTAATTAAAAGTGAGTTGTATAAAAAATCACCCCCTGTACAGTTGAACGGGGACTTTAGCTATGGAGACCAAAACCAGGCTGCTTATTTTGGCTGTATTGACTCACTCCTGTAGTCAGCCTCGAGTGGCTGTTCGAGGAACTGCACTTTTTGTTACTCAACGTGTTGGCTTTGTATTGGCTCTACTTCGGATCGCCCAAGATGCATATTAATGCCTGGTGTAAACAGGGACTAAGACCAAAGACACAAGTATGGCAGTCACATCTGCTTTTTGAGAACTTATCATTATTAGATGCTATTGTCAGTGATCTAAATATGTTGGGTAAACCTCCTGCGTAGGTCAGTGTAAACAGTGACTAGGAGCAGCAAATAAATTCCCCAAAAGTAATGTAAATGCTGAAGAACAGAAGGAATTCATAATATTTGATTTAAAAGTAAACCACCACAAATTCAGTTCAAAGATTCAGACTGAATACACTGTTGCCTGCAAATTGGCTCCCATTGCTTAATAATTAACTATATGTTGGAGACTTGAGTCTGAAAACAAAGTCCACAAGTGTGGAAGCTTTGAGCTACTGGAAGCATTCTCACATTATGACATCCTAAAATGTCACATTTTACATTTTTAATGAAGTGCAAGCACAAAGTACAGTCTCGAGTCTGGCAGTAAAGTGTGCAATCGCACACGATAATGAGATTTTTGCAGTAGATATTTTTGTACCCAATGATTACATAGCTGACTTTTTATTCATTTTTGCTTGATTTTTGACCACTGAGTGTTTCTAGGATATAGAGAACCCTCTGTCATCATGGTATTAGTTTGCATAATTATTCACGAGTTATTGTAATTTTGAGTTATCAATCAGTGTTTAGCTATTTTTTTTCTTTTCTGAAATGGTTGATTTACTCCAAAAAAGCCCTTTGTGGCGAAGTCATTACCATGTTTCTTTTTCCTAAAATGTCAAGTTGGAATAAAACTCGTCAATTAAGAATTTATTGTGAGGCCCCTCGAAGGTCATGCTGAGCCCAAAGGAGCAAAAATGGAATTAAATAAAAAACACTGATTGTTTTTCAATTGGCTTTACAATCGTTGCTCTCCCTCTATTCACCTGCTCAATACTGGCTGATTAACTGACTGACTGGATGATTTAGAGGAGCTGACAGTTAACCCCTCTGACACCACAACCCTAAACTCAATATCCCTAGTCGGCGATTTGTTAACCAACTGAATTTATGGACTAATTAAAAACCCATTACAAACAGATGACTCACCATATAGAAAACATCTAAACATCAGACTGATTGTAGTCCAAACACATATTAGAGAGCTGTCCAGATCAATAATATGATAAAAAACAAATGCTGAATACTGTTGTTTATTCTTTTTAGATTATATTAATCTTTTATGTATAGATTTAGTAATAAAGCAAACATAATCAAAATTCAGCATTGATACAATTCTGCTTTAATCATGCTATCATATTTTTAAAGAAGGTGGCAAATTGAAAAAACAAATTTAATTATCTTCATTAGAGTTTTGCAAAACTAATAATCAGAACTTTTTATTGCTTTTCCAAATGGTCGATTGACTAAATTATTGGATCTTTTTAAATTAGTGACAGTTAACCCCTCCTTCTCCAACCAGCATCCCCACTAAATGATCTTTTAAACTGATTAATTTATAGAGTAATTAAAAAGCTGCTGCAGACAGATGACTCACAGCCTCAGAGAATGATTGCTTTGCAGAGACTATTAGATGATGCAAAATGTCATATTACTAACCTGGAACTGTAACGCTCCATTTGAGTTCAGTTGTTTTCAGATAGGGAATTATAAATGCTTTTAAAAATTACATATCAAAAGCTCTCTTGGAGCACAAATTGAGACTTGATAATTATACTGTTACTACACTATATGATTAATGTAGTATTGTGTGTGATGTTTGTCATTTGTCTGTTTCCTCTCTTTTCTGTCACAGTATATGTGTTAATGTGTATTTGCTACATTGTCTTAAATACATATTTTAGGACACCTATCGCATTACGGACAACTCGGGTATTTACAGGATATTTTCAGAGTATTTTCAGGGTATTTGCGATGCTGTTAGATCCTTATTCTCAGAGTTGTCTTTTTAAAGTTTGCTTCTCCATTCAGCAAATTGCAACACACAACAACACGCTGAACTGTAGGATAAGTGTTGGTCTAGATATAAGCTAATTTATTTAGAGAATTTTACCTCCATCCAACTATATACCTCATTAAGGGTTGAGTGATAATGTGTGTATGTTTGTATTTATTTTTTAATAGTTAAGAGTCCCAGGAATGAGGTACTTGAAATGATAAATGTTTTTCCAGTTCATCTTTTTATGATGTGTGTCTGTTTTCAGTTTGTGTTGAGTTAATTCAAATTACCACTGTGGAAATGAGGCATTTATACTAACAGCTGGATGTCTCTGATTGGTGGCCCAGCTAACGCTGTTGCCTGTGCGTTGCGTTTCTCCCTCTTACTTTAAGGAGCCTCAAATGGAGCCTCTTCTTGGTGAGAGAATTGTGTTCTGGCCTCTTTTTTTCTGCTTTTCCTTCTTTATATTGGTGTCTAGAGAAATGTACTGCTTTTTTTTTTGGGCAAATAAGTTCCTCGATCAACTCGCCGTTGTGTGACAAGATTATTGGTGACAGTTTCTGAAATGTGTGTTCAGTATTTTGTAAAGTGTGCTGCTTTTGTATGATGAAAATCAATAAAAAAAAAATTGAGCACCAGTACACAAAATAAATCCTGGACACTGAGGAGAAACTGCCATCAATCTTAACGAACAAGCAGAAATTGATGGAAGACCTAATTTGACAAAAAGTCAATGAATTACCTGAAGTGGATCTGGCACCACAACTTGGAACAAGCTGTCTCCGTGATCCTTACAGACTTTTCAATGTTCAAAAGACTGAGCTATGCACAAGCAACCCTTTTAGGTAGACTATAACTTAATTCAATTATTTTTGTGTCATGCGGCAGAGGGTCGGATAGCTCAAAATGATTTAATGAACTAGATATCATGTTAAAACTATAAGAATATAAACCAATGAACACAGGGAATCAATCTTAAAATGTTATACTTGACGATTGGCATTAATGTAGTTGTGAATGGGCAAAACATGCAAACACACCAGCATGGTCCACTAAGAAAAAAAAAGAATATTTTTGGGAATTACTCCTCTTGTTTCTTAATGAAGGATAGACATTAAGATCAGTACTAATGTTTAAGCTTAGGTAAAGGGCATAGGAGGCCAGTTATATGTCAGTGCTTAATTCTAAAACTCTTGACTTGACAAGCTCGGCCAAGAGTGGAATCTGTCTTCCAGGATTTTAGATACAGTTTTGAACCAGGTCGGGGTGCTCACTGCAAACAAAGTCCATTTTAACAAGTAATTTAATCCAATATTTACTCTTAAAACCTTATGTTTCTTAAAAAAAAGTGAAAATCTCAGCTGAAGGGGAGAGCTGTTTCTACTGGGCTCCATTCCAGTTTGTGAAAGAAGAGAAAGGAGACCAGTTCTTTTCACTTACTTTAAGAAAATAAGATTTTAACCTTAAGTATAGAGACTAAATGACCTGTTGACATGGTTTATATCTCCTCTGTATTGGTGTGTGTAACTGCAGCTGAGCAATGATATTAGAGAAAGTCACACTAATGTCATTTGGGACTTTTTCTTTCCGGGGTTTGTGACTTAACATTTGTGCCAAGTGCTTTGTCTTTGTCACTGTCCTTCCACGTTTCTCTCTTTTTCTTTTTCTCTCCGCTGATAAACAGATCAAGCCCTGCAGTTACTCATAAACAATCCAGTTATGATAACTGTGGACATGCAGCTTCACTGCTGTATTTTACCTTACGTGCTGGTTTTAACTAGCTAAGCGCACACACATGCACATATTTCTTACTTCCGTGTTGTTTTATCGTGTGGGGGGAATTACAAGGTAAATATCCGATGTGTATGTGTGGGTATCTGTGCTGGTTTTGTGTAGTAGTTTATGTGTTAAGGGCAGTAGTGATTAACCTGTAGGCTTTATTAATCCTTAGACATACAGTAGATTTATTTTTAGCTGTTTCCCAGAGAACTGTCACTGTGTAATCTACTACTTGCCCAGAACATCTGTGGGTGTGTTGTTGTATTTTTTTGTGTGTGTCTGTCTGTGTTTGTCCAGTTTCTGTGTTATGTTATTAGTTGTTAGATGTGTTCATATTGTAGTTTTCAAGTGATAGAAAGCAATAGATTAACATGTGACATGACGCTGAGACATTCCCTCTATGGCGTGCTGTTTTTACATTTATTCCTAAATTTTAAGTCACCAAAGACACCATCACTTACTTTTTACTCAACCATCACTTACTAATCACAATTCTTCATGTTATTAGTTGCTTCATTTATATAAGTGAAGTCTAAGTTTAATGAACCGTGGTCATACGTTTGGATTTACTTAGACATTTATTTTTATATTTCTAGTCACCAGTTTGTGTTCAGAAGGTAAAAAGGCTCCACAACCATACGGCTAAATGATAATGTCAACACGCTAACATGCTCACAATGACAACGTGGATGTTCGTCATCTTAATTTAACATTTGTTAATTGGCACTATACACTAAGGATAGGTTCTAAGGTTAACCTTTTAATGTGATGATGGTGCTAGAAAAGGAGTTATTGAATCAACAATCTGGAACATGAATGTCGGGGTCGATTTTTATAGTTGTAGACATTTGTTGGGACTTCTGGGATGATGTTTATGATATTTCACTGGATAAGTGAAAACTTTGAGCTATAGGTGGAACTAGAGACAAAAGTCAGGGGATCAGTACGCTGTAGAATTAATCTTCGGAGCACCATAAATGTCTATAAAATTTCATTCAGATCACCATTGCCATCCATAGCGCTTTATCGTTGGCATGGAAATGTTGTTTGTTGACAAGTTATTTGCTCCCTCTTTGCACCAAACAGACCTTTCTGTCACTACTCCACTATTACTACCGTATTGGCTAATAAATAGTGCCTACCTGGTATTATTAAATCTAGTTTATATTCAATGTCAAGATAATTGGTTTTACCGACATTAAGTTGAAAATAACATTAAAATAAGATTACATTTAATAAATATTTATGCTCAATCAGCAGTCACTATAAATAAATACAAATATACACTACATATACATTTTTTAAACACTACTGACGAGTAAACGATAAATGTTAAATCAGCAGTCATACTCCTCTGTATATCTCTCACTCACTGTATGTGTCTGTGTGTACAGCTGCTGTTTGGGTGTGTGTTTGTGTATCCTTGTGTGTTTCGTGTATATGACGATATGTGTGTGTGCAGATGCTCATAATGTGCCTTTAGATTTCCATGTGTGTACGGGAACCTATGATGTGTGTTTGTGTGTTGACGGCGGAGGTTGAGATGACAGCAGTTGCCCTTGATGTCGGTCGCTCTGACATGTTATGGATTTCCTCACAGATCTGAGAACACAAACATGTGTGAGAGGATGTCAGCGACCTTTCGGGACTTAACCCAAGAGACCGACATGAAACTCAAATCAATCAAACCACCTGACTCCTTCTCTCTCTCCGCTCTCTCTGTCTCCAAGTCATCTATCTTACTTCCACCTCTCCATTGCTCTCCCTGCCTCTCTCCCCTGTATATCTTTATCATCTGTCTGCCTTTCTTTCTTACTTTTCTTTCCTCTCCTTCCACTTCAGTCTCTTGTGTCTCGCTTTTATCTTACATACACTCTGTATCAATTACTCTTCGCTCTTGCTTCTCTTGCCACCCTCTATTCCTCTCACTTAGCTTCTTTCTTTCTCATCTTTTTTGTACTTTCTCTCCCTCGTTGCCATCTCAAGATGATTCACTGTGGTGCTTCCTGCTAACACATGTTGTTTTTATTCAAAAGACGTCTTAAAGGTTTGAGTCAACAGCACGTACAGTATTTTGTATGGACATTATGTAAGCAGCAAGCCTTTAATGGCTGTTTTTTGTTCTGATAGATGGATTTAAAAAAAAAATTCTATATCATAAACCCACTAAAGCTGATTACTATTTCTAGGAACAAATCATATGTTCATGTCATCATTTACCCATTACACATCACAAAAAAAGCACATTATTTTTACAGATTATATTATAGTGATAAGTCTCCAAAAACTGCAAGATTTAGTTCCATACTATGACTTTAAAAACAGCTTACAATTCAACTTATAGAGCTGAATTTTTTCCCCATTTTTTAAAGATAAATCTGGTAGTTTACATCACTGAACATTGGCAGTTGCAGTGGATAGCACAGTCACATCACAACAAGAAGGTGTTTCCATGTTTGCATGTGATTGACTGGCGTGAATGTCAGCTGGGTTTGGCTTGAGGCCCCTGACCGGGTAAAGCTAAATGGTGGATGTCACTTAACATGGTATGCTTAAGTGTTAGCATTGAGCACCAGACAGAATGATCTACCAACAAGGACACACACGATTTGGTGTCCACAGTGTGTTTTCATAACTTGGCTAAGCTGACACTAAGCTGACTAAAGGGCAGTTTCAGGTATTAAACACCCTCCGTCTCTCTCAGCTACCTCACTTTATCTCTCGCCCTCATTCTCTCAACCACTTTTTCTCGTCACTCCTACTTCTTTTTCAACATTCAACAACCGAGTGCATCTTGCCTCCATCTATCTTTTACCTTCTTTCATGCCGTCTTTCTTGCAGTTCAGTGGAACCGACGTTTCTGAAAGATTACAGCCCATTTGGCTCTGTTCTCTCTCAACCTCCAGTCGCATCATAAAGACAAATAAAGCAGCCTGTCTCTCAGTCATGTCACAGAAGCTTCCTCTTCAATATCTTATATGTGTATTTGAGAGCTTTTTGTGTGCCCTGTGTGTGTGTGTGTGTGTGTGTGTGTGTGTGTGTGTGTGTGTGTGTGTGTGTGTGTGTAAGTGTGTGTTTATGTCCTCTCTAGCAGTGTTATATCTATTTTTGATGACTAGTGTGCAAAAGCTCAGCTGCTGGGACATTACATTGTTGTGGCTGTAGTTTGACATGCCCCCTGTGTGTGTGTTTGTGTGTGTTTGTGTGTGTATGGGTCTGCAGGTGGTCCATGAGGCTTACACCAGGTTCGCTGAGGAATCTCTGATGCAGTCTGTGTGTGATGATAAAACCTCGGAGAGCACAGAGGTCACAATCAAGGTCAGTGGTGGAACACACAGAGGCAAATAGGATCACATTGAAATATTATACAGTATTATAAACACACTGTAACAAGTATCTGATAATATATATATATATAATTATCAAGATGCCACGTTGGTTCTGCAGACGGTTTCTGAAAAGCAGCAATTCATCGACACACATCATTCAACTCTAACTATTCATCACTGTACAAGATTGTTTGCTCTTGGAGTGGAAATCAGGCTAATAGGTCAACAAAACAAGTGTTTTCTGACTATTCTGATAAGATACAATAATCATCACAGCGATAATACCTGTGACTGAGGCCTTGATTGATTGTGAGAAGGAGCTGCTGCTGCTGAGTAATGTCTAAAACCTGGTTACAAAACACCTTTGTACTTTCAGGGAAGTTTCAAAGTGGTATATCGATAAAAGAAAGAGAGAGATTAGTCCTTGTGTTTTAGATTGCTTGGCAGAAACTACCTGCTATATAATGTCACCTCAATGCCAAGTGTAATTAAAAGGCAATCAACCTTACACACTACACTCAGCAGTGGAACAGATTAGTTTAAAGTTTACAGAAAGGACCTTTTGTGAAAGTGAAGTAAAGAGTAAAAAAAGTAAAGCGGTCAGGGAGTTCTTTGAGTTGTTTGATTAGAGCTTCTGCGGGCATCATTTAATGCTGTCTAACATGGAAGATCAGAATAAAACTACAGTAGCTTTCCCAGATTTGTTGATTCAAATGTAAAAAAACAGAAGAAATATTATTATATTATTTGTTATATACCAAGACAAATATAAACTTTCACTTTTCAGTCAAATGTAGCCCAGTTTTAATGTAGATGTCTTGATGTCTATTACCATGTGAAACACCAACTCAATGCTCACATGTGTGACATCAGGCTGAACAAATAGTTCTCAGACTAGCTATTAACCTCAGGAACAATCACTGCAACAACTGCTAGACTTTCACAGGAAAGCTTCATGCTACTGTAACATGCACTCTGTCTAAATAATGAAATATAGTCTTCATATTTAATAGAGAAGGCAGGTGTAGCCTCTCATTGCTAAACCTACATTTTCAAGTCTATATCTGAAAATCAATCGTAAAAATCAAATGTATTTTATTTCAACAAATACATTCCTGCAGATTATTGAACGTCTAACAATGAAACTAAGTAGTGGTGGCTGCATTGTAGTGGAAGGTAAATCTATAAATATGGTTGTAAAAACATGTTCATGAATTATTCACATTGCTTTTTCACTGACCTCAATTTTTTACCACTTCCCTTTTCTTCCCTTGCTCCATCCTACGCCACCTACCTCCTCCATCTCTGCTGGGGGATTCCGATTTGTACTCATCCCACCCCATCCCCCTCTCTTCTTGTGTCTTATACCCCACTTCTTTTTTTGTTCTTTTCCTGGTTTCTCTTTTTTCTACTTGTTTGGTTTATTATGGTCTTCTTTATGCTTTTTTCTTCTTTTTTGTCATTTCTTTCCTCTGGTCCTTGATTCATAATGTCATATTCCCCTCTCATCTCCTTTCCTCATCCCTTTTCCTCACGCTTTCTCTGTAGGGCCTCGAGGTGTCCAAACCGGGCCGCTACCAAGCTCTGACCTCAGACAACTTCCTTGAGATGAGCGACTCTGGAGTGGAGTTTACCAACTCTGCCCTCCCACTGGACAGTGACACTGACGGTGCGATGACCTACGCCTCCCACAAGCCACTCCTGAATGCCGTCTCTCCTACAGCTGTGACCGAAGGAATTCACTCAGAGAGCCTGGAGACCACTTTGGCCCCCCACTGCGACTTCAGTGCCAGCCGGACCCCTGACTCCGTCCTGAGTGCCAGCCCCGCCTCCAATCCTCGCTCATTTGCAGCTGCCACCCCCGATGGTAGTCTGTGCGGTGCTGAATCGCCGGGAGCAGCCTCCAGGGGCACCACTGGGTCGGATTCAGCCAAGACAGAAGGAGGGGCTGACGTCGGAGAAGTTGGGCAGAAGGAGGAATCGGCTCAGAGCACCTGAGAGGATGCACCAGTGTGTATTTTTTTTTTTTAGCTCATGGTCCTTACATTGGCCCTGTGTTTCCAGGAACCCTATCATATCCAAACACCACCAAGTCCTTGATCACTGCATTTAAAATATCACAGAAAAAAATATTCATGCTTGGATCTTGATGTCATTTTACCCTGAACGAAAAGAATAAAAAGGCAGTTGCACAAAATGCACAATACAATATTCAATGCACTAAATGAGATGCAAAAGAGTAACCCTAAGCTCTATGAAAAGAAGAACAAAGCAATTCTGTGCATATGGAAATGCATGCATTTAAATTAAACATTAAAGTAGATATCATAGTTCAAATCAACAAGAAAATGCTGATGTTAGACTAGACTGACTGCATGCAAGCTTCAGTGGGTAGAAGCACCGGCTCAAAAAGAAGTTATGTTGATGAGAAAAGGGTAAAACACTCTCAGCACCTTTAGGAAAACACCTAAATGGTATCAAATAGTTTTAGCTCACGTCAAAGGGTTGTCAAAAAAAATTACAGGATTTTGACAGTTTGACAGGTAGAGTCAGTACATTTCAAGGAGTCAGACATTATTTTCTAAGAGCAAGGCTACTAACAGTAACAGAAGAGCTCCTCCTGTATTGAGGGGAACCTCAATTTGTTTCCTCTGACAGCACTTTTGTCTGCTCTCACGGCATCAGACACTCAGACACAAACACTGCGATGACTGCGTTTCATCCCACCCACACATAGACTCTATTATTAACAGTACAAGTATGTCAGAAAGCGTCTCCGCCTCTCAGACAGAAGTGCTTGTCTCAGCAATCATTCACCGCCATCCACGACAAAAACCTCCTCAATGCATTCTTTCTAAAAAACCTGCAAACTGAAACAAGCTCTGAAGATTGAATACCACCTCCCCTCTGCGAGTGCCGGTGGTTGTTTTACTTTCTCTCATATATTGGGTGTCAAATCTACCACATTTTAAGGCATGGTCTAGAGGAACCCGTCAATACGCCCACCTCATCTCACTCACGCTAATGACGAAGGCCAGAGCCTCAGCGGAGTTGTCACAAGCCCTGTCAGAGCAAAATAAAATTCAAAAAATACTGTGCAACACATCTGGGAATTTTGGAACGGCTCCCGAGAACATAATTGGATTTTTGGCCTCTTCATGGAAAGACCAATTCACGGACACCATAGAGTGACGAGTGGTGATAAAAGAGACGACAGAGATGGAATAGGGTACTATTCGGGGGAACAGATAAATGACTTGCATGATTTAAAGCCTACTGTTTTCATCTCAGCCCCCCATCCAAGGGACAGAGCTCTGATTATTGTAGCCCAGTTGTTTGCCAAAATGAAGTGACTGGAAAGACGCAATTGGATCAGTGTGATAACGACGCAGCCTACAGCCTCAACGAAATGAGACTGAATAACAATGATCATGAGAGGTGTGTGTGTGTGAGTGTGTGAAGGGGGGGGGTACAGAGCAACCAACAGTATTAGACCTTCAGCGCATGAAGACATGATTCCTTTTAGTCCGTGAATAATAGGAAATGAATAAGAAGAGGACATTAATGGTCCTGCTTGTGGTCTATGAATCTAAACCCACCATACAGTTCAGTGACATCGATGCTACTATTGACAATAACCATTAGCAGTATTACAAAGGTGTCTCGCTCAACATCCACTTAACCATCGACATAAGGAAGGTCATAGGTTTACAGATATTTCAGTTAAAATGTACATTCAGCTACTCTGTGACCACCTTACGTCTCTAACTGACTCAAGGGCATTCACACCCCAGTAACTGATAGTTCATATTGTTGATTTGTTTACTGGAAAGAGCTCTTACCTTGCTTGAGTTTAAAAAAGGAGCTCCAAGGCATCACAGGATGTGGTGCAGATGTAGTGAGATAACTTCTAATTGACAAAAAGGTTTTGTTTTTCAAGGATCTGCTTTTTACACAAGGAGTAAATCAGTGGTAGCTGGTTTGGTTACACATTGAACACCAATTAACATACTTTGTGGGAGAAAAAAATCAAGAAAATACAAGAAACGGACCACAGAAGTACAGATGAGAGAGTACAAGCAGTAACATGGCACAAGTTCGAACACATTTAAAAAGAAGCATGAACAGAGTCAATTAAATTAAGCTCTCACGGCCATAACAACTGCTTTTTGACTAATTAGTTCCCTTTCCCTGCTGCGGAAGAAGCCTGTGGGCTAATTCAGGTCACAGGAAACTGATTTACACCGAAAGACTTCTCACAGAACGAGAGCCAGACATTTCACACATGCCCCCGTCCCCCGCAGGGCCAAACAGTCTGTGATACTACACATAGAGCCCACATTTACACCTTTAGGGAATCAGAGCAGTATCCATGGCAACATCAATCACAATACTTCACCTACTGCAATACACAGTGATCCTCGCCATAACAAGGGTCTTCTGTCCCGACCATCCCATTTAGATGTCACTGTTTCCATTGACAGCTGTTAGCAGCATGGCTACCTCGTGCTGTAACTGAAATTATGTCAACCTGGACAGTCTGTAAGATGTATACGACCTATACCTCTAAGGGTTACTAAAAGCAGTCAGACAGACACAAATGTTTGTTGTCTGCACAAGAAAAGCACAAATTTTAACACGTGTGATCCTTTTGAAACAAGAAAGAGCTTCACATTGTAATTAAAAAGGGTAAAAAATGAAGTAGCAGCTACTGTAAATACAATCCCTTCCTATTCAGGAAAATGTAGCTTGGATTGATTCTTTCGTTACTGCAGAGGTTAGATATAGGAATCAGGAATCACAAGTGTGTGCAATACCCCACTTACTTGTCATTGAATTATTGATTTTGTATGGCTGTTTTTTAGGGCAGTGCTTTTGCACATGCAGGGACTTCTTGACTTAATCAGATATATGTATTAACACTAAGAGGCAACAGTAAGGCTCCTAAAACTGACTCTGTGTATGATAAATATCAGTTTGATTCAAATAAGCTCTGATACGTTAGGTGGGCTGATGACACATTGATGGTCAAAGGATATTCAGTTAAATCTAAAGCAATATTAATCATAATGGCACTGATACATCACTAACATACACCGGGCAGAAAGAGGAATCTGACATAACAAATCCATCCAAAAACATCGGTCACTCTTAATCATCCTTTTTTCACTCTTGTAAATATAAAGGTATGAGATCTGCATGTGTTTAGTGTGAAAATACTAATATGTTTCTTACTGCAAGGCTTATGCAAGATTTTATACTTTCAAAAGGGTGCGTTGATCCTTTAACCACACATCCACAGTAGGTAGAAAACTAACAAGTAGGGCTGGAGATGCCTTCAGCTGGGAAGACTCTCCAGTCTTACTCATGTCATGTTTGGGTTGCAGTGATGCTGTGTGAAATCCTTTCATCGAAATTTCCTTCGTGATCGCCTCTGGGGTTGAATCTGATACAGCAACAGTGTTGTTGTATTTAATCATGGGCTCTAATTTTGACTCTTCGTTTCAGGTCTGGGCCTAAAAATGAACAAAAGACAGACTGGTTCTAAAAACAACCTGAAGACTTAATATCATTTTGATCATTCAAAACACACTGACACAAAATGTTGCTGTGGTGAATAAAAAACACCTGATTTAAAGGACCAGTGTGTGGGATTTAGGGCAGGGCTGCCCAGAGTGGGGCCTGCGGGCCAAAGCTAGTGAGGTTAAAATGCTCTTTAAATATGTTAGATCCCTAAATTATGAATTACTTTTCATAATCTGAGCACTGCAGGCGGAAGTCAGTCAATTAAGGGAACTTGGGATCATAATACCAGTTTCCATCTAATACAGTATAGCAGCTGTTTGCTTTTGGCCCGTAGACAACCATTAAGTTTCAGTTTTGGCCTGTTGGCACGTTTGGGCATCCTTGTTTTAGGAGGATCTATTGGCAGAAATGGATTATAATATTCAAAACTATGTGTTCATTTGGGTATCTACAGATGAGCAGGTCCTCTTCTATGTTGCACCGCCATGTTTCTACAGTTTACATTACGCCAAGGCCACCGTAGGTTCTCCTTGAAAGGGAGGTGTAAGTGGACGGGGTATTCAGTTTCCAGTCTGCAATGTCTGTGCTTGATGCCACTAAATGCTACACACTGAACCTTTAAAGAAATACTCAAATATAATATTATACATGGGGAAAATACACTTGTCTGCCATGTAGCCACAGAGTTTGACTCCAAGCTTTGTACAAAGACAGCAGGGGAAAACTACTAGCATCCATTAAAAGGTTATCAGCAGCTCTAAAAGATTTCTGAATAAAAGGTTATAAATCTTTTCACCAAACCTTTCTTCCAACTATTGTACAGGCTGTAATTACAAGCGGCCAACACCAGGAATTTCTATCAGAAATATAGCCACAAACCAGTGGCAAAGAAAATCAACACATTATATTTATTTAATGATGTGGGGTGGAAAGATTTAGACCCCCATTTCACCACAGCAGGTTACATCCACTGAGATAAATGGAAATTCAACAAGTTCAGGCCTTTGCAGAGTAGATATGTTGGAATAATAATAATAATAATAATAATAATACTAAAGTTCAAGCAATCGCAGGCTTTCTGAAAGGATTTCACTTTCTGTCATTCAACCTCATCTGATGTTTTCTGTTTCATTACACATCACAGAGCTTCTCAGAACAGAAGTGCTGATCCGCGTGTGGGCACGGGGAGATTTAATAAAATGTTCTTTCAGTTCTGGGAGATTCGCTCTTTTGTTAATCTACTTTTCTCTGTAATTCCAAAGAATATAATGAAAAACTATGAAATGATGCCTGCAGTGTCACCGTTTGCTAATACCTCTGATAATAATAGAAATTTGCTCTTATGCGAAATATCAGAAGGACTGGCTGTAAACTGCACTTTTTGACACTGAGATCAATTAATTTTAATTCACTCCAGTGCATTTCAGTGGTTCTTACTGTGATTGAATTTAGTCTTATCTTTGATTCATGACAGATAATTGGAGAAAATAATTGAAAACCAATGGCCTTTGTCATTTTAAGCTCCCTCTGATATATAGTAAGAACGTTTTTCTATGACTAAAGAACACACAATTCCATATCAGGTGGATATTTGTTAAGCAGCACTCCTACTCTGATTTACACTCAGAATGATTCAGAAATCCAATGTACGTTTATCTGCTTGGAAATTGTTCCGTATTCACACATCTGTCCACTCCCCACCGTCACACTCCCAGCACCTGAGAATGTTTTTTTATACAAGAAAAAAAAAAGAAAAACGTCTTAGAAATAATTTTCATATAATCGATGTGTTTACTTTGGGACAAATGTACGTAATGACAAACTAGACAAGTGCATTTGGTGAAAAAAAAAATCAACACTTCCTTTGAATGAATGATCATGCTTGAATACATGTCATTGTGAGAACTTTTTGTAGCATCACATTTAGCACCAAAAAGACAACTTTTCGCTCCTAATGTGCTTCGTGTTTCTCCGTACTCTGATATTATAGCCTATATCTGCTGTCCCAGTGTATACCTAAGAGTTAGTGTAACTGCAGCATGCTGACCTGTAGATTGCTTGTGGGACAGCAGCCGTGATAGCTAATAATGATAGTAATAATATGAATTGCACTTTTCTGTACAGCTGGCCTCCTGAATCCATCTTGACCTTGTCGCTGAGGTCTGTCCCTGGTTTCCCATGATCCTCCTGACTCTTAATATCACCCTTCATTACTGGCTTTCAGCTGAGAGTGATAGTTAAAGGAGAATACTGGTGTTTTTTTTAAAGGTTGCTGTCAATTGTGTGGTGTGTTTTCAGCTCTTGTTAGTCAGCACACACACTGGGAACAAGAATGCTTGTTTTCCATTAGTAGAAGCAATGTGCTGCCATTTAGTATTTTGTAATAATAAATATATGATAAATACATGAAATATGAAAACCTCAGCCACACTTTGTTTTATTGTGTGTTTTATTGTTATTTCATGGTACAGAGTTTTTTTTAAATCATTTCTGTCAATCACAGGTGGAAATAAAAGCTAAGAAATAAAATTTTTAACATATAGCTTCATGTTTTTATCTCAGACATCTTTGCTGGGACATACTGACCTTTAATGTAAGACCAATCAAATGACATGCATTAGAAATTAGATATTTTTTTCAAATAACACTGGTGCTCTCCTTTAACATCACTTCAGATATAATATGCATATAGGTTTAATAAACAAACGTGGTCTCAATCTAAAGGGCATTAAAGTTTGCATTCCAGAGATTTATTTTATGTGGATTAAATATTGCTATATGCTATTTGCATCTATTTACAATTAGTATGAAATCATACATTCTCCTAATTGTAAAATGGTTTTGGGAAACCTGAGAGTCAGGATTGCTCATGAGGCCAAATTAAATCCTGTTGATTGTTTTCCTTAACTTGACTCAGGCAGGAGAAGTATTGTCACTGTCAATATTACTGCCGTTGCTTCTGCAAAAAAAAGCAACTTAAAAAAGACTTTTATACAAGAAGAATCTCATTTCATGTTCACTTGATCTCAAAATGTATCTGCAGATGATTTTATTTATTCATTTATATTTTTAATCAAGTAATTACAGCTTCATTTACATGATGATATTGGATTTGATTGTAAAATGATGGCGTTGTTTTGTCTTATTTTAGTTTTATATTGTAAGAAAGGTCAGAAATGTCTGGTGGAGTGAAAGAAAATCATGCAAATGAAAAGAAATAGCAGTTAACAGATCACTTCATGTCTTTGGGAAGAGAGCATGGGTCTATTTGTATGTATGAGGCCCTTAAAATCATCCTTCAGGATTATCTGGTTTTGATTACTATGCTTTCGTACATATAGGTTGTATTACTTACATGTGAATTTTACAGTTGCTTTTAAGCCAAACATAAACCATATCTTGCTTGTATAAAAGGTAACACGTTTTCTCTGTTGTGTTTGAGGTTTGATTGATTTAGTAGATTTTAGTAGAAACCTGATCAATTCACCTTTATTTGTCATTGATGTAAGGGAGACATCAAAACATTGAAGTGTGTATTCCACTGGACAGTACAAGTTCAGGTTATAAAGGAAGTTGTAAGGAGAGAGCACAGTATGTTATACGACTTTGTTTTACCAGATATTCTGGTTCGTCTGCATGAGAGTCTCTGTCGTTACTTGTTGCTTTCGCTTTGAAAGAAATCACTTGAATGCCTCATGTCTAAGAGTTCAGATCTCATTTAATGTTTTTCCAAAGCTGGGTAATCATTGACTCTAACGATACTTCGCGGCACTGCCATGAACAAGCGATCACACCCCCTTGTTTGCCTGAAGAATAAATCAGTGATTATTTATATACCGGTATTATAAGACCTTTTGGCATCCTGCGCAGACTTTTGTAAAGCTTCTCATTTTCTGTAATGAATGAATAATTCCAATTAAATGACTTTTCAACAGAGAGAGTGAATCAAAAGGTTTATTTTTGTGTCATTCCTTTTAATGCTATTTGCATTTAATTCATACACACTCCAACCAGTATTTTTTCATTTAGATTTCAGTGATGGATTAGCACTCATTTCTAAAACATGCCAGGGACACCTTGTTTAAATAAACGATCTTAGAGTCTCTTCAGAGTGCTTCAATGTAGTAGATAGAAGTTGTGATAAGCAACTTAAGGACTGAACTACAAAGTACAAATTTGAGGTCCCAATTTGTGCAACTTTATACTTCTACTCCACAAATATACATACATTATGCCTTACTCATACTACATTTGTCTGACAGCTTTAGGTACACTACTTAAACAGCCCTGTTTTTAGCTTTGTGACAATGCATTATACAGCTAAGCCAAAAAATGTTTTATTGTTTATTTAGCTTAAGAAGTAGGAGACTTTTCTCGACCTCAACACTTAAAGGTCCAGTGTGTAACATTTAGGAAGATCTACTGGCAGAAGTGGAAAATAAAATGCAAAGTATGTTTTCATAAGTGTCTAATCACCTCTAAATTAGAATTGTGTTTTTGTTAACTTTGAATGAACAGTTTTTTTCTTCTCTTCGTCCGCCATGTTTCAACAGCAGCCCAGAAAGGACAAACCACTGGCTCTACAGTCCTTTATGTTTATCGAGAATTTCATGGCCACCATAGTTTCTCCTATAGCTTTTATTCAGTCGGATCTGCAACTTCAGCCCTAGATGACACTGAATCTTACACACTGGTCCTTTTGGTCGCGAGGCCTTTGTGGTTTTAAGACGTGTAGGAAAACACAGTAGGCCGATATCTCATTGTCCTGCATAAAAAAGGTTTGCAAGTTTGTCAAGGAGAAGAAAACACTGAATTTGTAAAGAAAGAACGCTATTAAGTATGTTTGTGTGTTAAAAATAAAACTCATCTCTGATGCAATATCCACAGCAAATCAACTCAAAATTCATCCTCATCATATTGTTATGCAATGATTATAATATGAGCTATCTATAAAACATGTAATTACCAGTAGTTAGGGGTAGTTAGTGATACAATAGGGGTCCCTTAAGGAAAAAGTTTGTCAACCGCGGGTCCAATGTGCATCTGTGGGGGTCTCTGACTTTAAAAAAGTTTGCTTTAGACAATCTAATCCCAGTGAAACCCTCTGTACCAGCTGTGTGCAGCTCTGCCACAAAGGGCCCCAGTCCTCCTCAGACAGGCCCCGTCCTGCTCCCGCTGAAGGCGCCCTGGCCCTCAGCCAATCGGGGCGGAGCAGGAAGTGACGTCCGCCTCAGCGCAAGGAAGCCCCGGGAGTGGCGCGCCAAATTTCAAAGGACTTCCTCCTGGGAGGACAGAAGGCGAAAGATCCGCACCGGAGCCCGTCGGACAACGGAGACAAAATAACCCCGCAGGAACAATAAAATGTCGGTTCGGTTGCGGATCTAAAGGCGCTGGTTGAGCAGTCGACGGTTGTTTGAGGAGTATTTCACATGAACTCTGCAGCTCCGCTGTTGCTGTTGTTGTTGTAAGTGTTTGACTTTCATTATGTCCGACAAGGAACTAACGACAGCTAGCTTAATCCTGTTTCTGACAAGCTAAAGAGACAAGCAGCACTACGACGTTAACGACTGCTGCTCTCCGGTTAACCAAACGCATGCTTGAGAGGAAAAGGTAGATTACACGAGGGTGGATGAAGTTCCTGTTGCACAAAGAAAAGTTTTTATTCTCGACGAGCGGGCTGGTTTCTGTTGGCTTTTTGTGTCTTTGCTTTGTGTGCTGATCCCATGATTGTGTCAGCCTAACGTGCAGCTGATGCCCGGCATGCGGTGCAGCCTGCAGCAGGTCCCCACCGTGAGGTTGACACTTTTTATGGTCTGTTGTAAAATGTATCTCCTGTACGTTTTCTGTTTCACTCTGACATTAGTTTAATTTAACGCGAGCCTGTGACTTTGGTGCTTTTTATGTCGTCTGAAGTGTCAAGTGAATTATATTTATAAAGTCTGAGCTGTTTTTTTTTTTTCTTTCTTTCTTTCAGACACTAAGTAGAGCAATTAGGCAAAAAGCCATTTTTGTTTCAAAGCTTTTTCCTCTTTTGTTTTCTTTCAGATCAGACAGTCCTCAGCCGTTACACCCTGTCAGGCTTCCCACCTGTGAGACGGCTGATGTCAATTGATGTCAGGAGCCTGGGATTTTAATCTCTCTCTCACACACACACACACACACACACACACACACACACACACACACACACACACACAGGCTCAGATGACAGCTGTTCAGACTCAGAAATATTAAAACGTCAGACCTCTAAAAGTCACGGCTGTCAAGGTTTTTGGCAGGTTTACTTTTCACGGTTTTAATGTTTATTGCACCTTTCGAATTAGTGGCAGAGCAACACACACACACACACACACACACACACACACAGGCTGTCCACATTACTGAGGCTCTTTATTCTCAAATCCACCATCTTATAGCCTCTCACTCCATGGGGGATTTAGTCTGTTTGAGTTTGAGCTCATAGCAGTGTGCAGAAGCTCATTTCCACACTTCACCAGCTTATACAGTACTCTGTCCTCATTATGTATTCATATATTCACAGCAGGACACAACAAGTCATCAGCTTTCCATACTAATGCAAACATCTGTTGCTTAAAGCTGCTGTACCTGCCTGTAACCTTCACACTCAGTTTTTTCCGGCCCGTGTTCAGAATAGTCTTCCTGGCGATATAGCTTTATGTTAGCAGTCGGCACTCTTTGGTCAAAGCCAAATGCCTTCAATTTAACGTAGCAAAGAGTTGTATCTCACAATGGATCGCAGCTTCCTGTAACTCAGGCCCAGATAAGGTGTGGCCTCTGGGTGGGGCAGGTGAGGGCTTAGCGGTGGCAGACAATCAAACCCTTCAGCCATGCTGTCCGGGGTGCAGCCGTGCTTCCAGCTGCTTCGCATCGGTTCGTCTCCTGGCGACTCGGCGAGGGACCTGTACACGTTCAGGCCGGCGCTGAGCCACTCTGTGTTCCGCCTGGGCCGGGCTGCGGAGCTCTGTGACGTCACGCTGGACTCCACGTCAGTGTCCCGGATCCACGCAGAGCTGCACGCCGAGAAGGAGGCGGGCGGAGGCGACACAGCGTCACAGGAGGAGGGCTGGAGGGTGCACATCAAGGACAGGAGCAGTCATGGTGAGAGAGTCACACACGTACACCCCAATAAGAGCTCGCCTGAAAACAATTAGGCTGTTATTGGTGTATGTATGTCATTAACTGGTTATTATGTATCAGAGGTGTTTACATAAAGCGAATAGGGCATGATTGCAGCCATTAATGTTTCTTTATAATAGTCCCACCTCAAAAATAAGCTCCCTCAAAAGCCATGGTGTAGTTTATATGTGGTCTACACCTGCAGTCAAAGTGAGACTGACACCACTCTACAGTCATTGTGGAAGAGAAGAAGAAGCAAAGGTACACACCCGTTTACAGGAAATAAAGTTCAGTACAGGAAAGCACATTCTCACAAAGACATTACTCACTCTTACCGTCTGTTTGTGGAAAGAAGTACAAATATGTGTGTTTTAGATTAACACATGTAAATTGATTTAAAGCCAGACACATTCAGACTGACAGGAGTACAGATACTAAATGTTGCAGACAGGTGAAACACACACACACACACACACACACAACAGTCTTCTGCTGAACTACCGACAGAAATACCAAAATGAACACCTGCAGCCTGACAGCAGCTGAGTCCCACAAACGAACACATGCACAGCTATTAACTGCCCAAACACAGCTGTGAACATGCAGACAAGGTGAAGCCTCAGAGGCACGCCAACACTCCTACCGGGAACTAAATGCATCTGTGAAACCTCAACTTTAAAAACTTTTAATTATCTCTCCCACCAGGATTTGTATCTAATTCAGAGTTGCCGAACTTTTCCAACCTATTGAGAACCATGTAATCCCCCCCAGTTAGATTTGTTACAAAACAGTCACCTAATTTGGAGTTTGATAGTGATGATAAGGAAGTAATTAAAAACCATCTTAACTTTCCCTGATCTTTGACCCTGATTTTACTTTTTGTCAATTTGAGCGTGAAGCATGAAACCAGCTCCAGATTGATTTATATAGAATGAGAATGTACTTCAACCTACAGATGAGTGACTGATTAAAGGAAAAAGCAACAAAGTCTGTGGAGGTATTAACACAATTCTTCCAAAACATATTCCCTCACGTCGGACGCGTCCTGTGACGGACCTAGCATAATGATTCACACCACTGTAACCATTCACTGAGCTCTCAGATGTAACACACCTGCATTTGTCCACAAAACCTCTTTTCCATTTTAATTTATCACCAGGATGTCTGTGAAATCTAAATCATTACATGTCATAAAAGATTTATAAAATGAATATGAAAACATGAATATGATAAATATCAGTCTTTGCAGGTGACACCACGTAGTGTCCTAACCATAAGAAGCTTAATGATTAAACATAGAGCTGAAACAATTAGTTGGTTAATTGCTTAGTTGATGGGACAGAAAACGAATCAACTATTCTGATAACTGTCGTTTTTTAAGAAAAGATGTCAAACACGTCCTTGTTCCAGTGACTTAATTGTGTCTATTTGCTGCTTTATTTGTTCTGTGTGATTGTAAATAAAATTTATTTTCAGATTTTGGGCTGTTTGAAAATGCCATGTTGAGCTTTACAAAATTGCGTTAGACATTTTTCACTGTTTTCTGACTTTTTGTAAATCAAATATTCAGTTGATTAATCAAGAAAGTAATCAGCAGCTGTGGAATAAAAACACTGCTGCAGCTCTGCTCGAAAGAAATAAAAAGATGGACAGTAAAATCTGCAGAAAAGACTATAAACAGAGTTTATGTACTGTTTCTATCTACAGGTATAGGCCATCAGACATATAAATCAAAACATGCCACTATATGCATGCAGCTCTGGATCATACATAATTACCCATATAATGTATAGTAAGTTTGAAATGTGTAGGTATTAAGAAAATCATTCAGTCTCTAGTGGTCATAGAATAGCTCTGATATACTGGGTGAACGCTGAGAGTGACAGAAGAAATAATGAGCAACGTGTCAAAGCAAACACAAGGTTAAGGAGCAGTAAGGGTGGATATGATTTCTGTAAGTAGGCGTAAAGAAAAACGGGCTTCCACTGTAGTTGCAGGGAGGTCAGACATATTACATCTTACTACCTCGGTTTGCTAATAGCCTTAAGTGAAACCTGGAGTGCACCGGAAGCGGTACAAGGTGAGGAAGGAGGAGATTGAGAGTGAAAGTCTTCTCTTAATGCCAGTGGACTGTGTCTGACAGGCTCCGAATCTAAACTGCACTCTTACTGTCTAATTTTTCAAGTAATTTCACAGTCTGTTTCACACATTTTTCATTCCTGCTATTAAAATTACATTTTAGTATTCACTGTGCATTTCTCATTTTGTGCTGTGCTGTCATGGCCATTTGATTGCCTTGTAGCCTTCCAGCTCCTCAATTCTAGGTCCATTTCACAGACTGTTTTACATTTTGCCTCAATTCTGGAAGCTGTAAACACATTGATAGTCTGCAAATGACTTTCTTGTTTGTCAGATGTTCATATATTAAAAAGTTGTGTGATAAGGTGACATCGCCTTTGACTGTGCAGCTGTTGCTCGTTTGTATGTTCATTTGGAGCGATCACTTGACTTAAGAGAGTTTCCCACCACTTGCATGTCAGCGTGGCCGAATGAGAGTCTCTAAACATCTTATTTTATGGGATGAGTGCAATTCAGTTAACTAAGTGCCATCTTCACCTCCTCTTGCTCTTGTGTTCCTAGGCACGTGGGTCAATGAGGTCCGCCTCCAGCCTGGCGTCCAGTGGGAGCTCTCAGATGGCGACACGCTGATCTTCGGTGGTCAGTCTGCTCCAGGGAGCCCAGAGTTCTACTTCCTCTTCCAGAAGGTCAAAGTTCGCCCGCTAGACTTCGATGCCATCACAATTCCAAAGGTAATCTTTGTTGTTCGTCGGCTCTTTACTGCCTGATTCTGTAACAATGCTTCATTCGTTTGGGGTAAAACAACAAGTCTGGACCTTTTCTGACTGCTTTCTGTCACTCTGGTTGTCTACGTCACAAGGGTTTCAAATATGACCACCCATGGTCCAGCTAAGATCATAGATTAATATGGTGGCTGTATGAAGTGTTGTGTAAAATATTCCCCAGCAAATGCACTGTTACTAGTGTTTGAGTAAGGTTTGCTAAAATCAAGTGCCACTGTCGGGGTAGGGAAATCAGAATTGAGAGACGCACCAACGCATTGTTGGTTTTGGTCATTTTGTGGGATTTATCAGCAATAAAGAAAATACAGAATAATGCCGTCCTTATACTTTGGTGTGTGCAGGCATTGTGACTATGAGGCACTTAGACAGGATGTGAACATTCAATATGCCACTGACAAAAAGTCTGCGTTCAGAGCAATTTAAAAGATAGAATCAGGTGCTTGCTTTTTTTTGCTTTAAAACCCTGCTCATTCATGAATTGAACACAAAGAGAAGTAAAAGATAAAAAAAGGCAAATGTTGTCATCTTAAAGTTTTTCATCAAGTTTTTGAAAATAAATATCTGCTCCTGTTGGATGTTTACATTTGGTCTTCACAGCATAAAGTTGTAATTTGTATATTCACATCTTGTCTCCTAGGCGGGCACCTTCTCCTCCGACTTGCAGAACCGGATCAGGACCAATCTGGACCGCAAGGTGGCCGCCAACCTGGACCTGTCCAAGCTGTCCATCAACCGGGCCACCGTCATCCTCAACTCCATCGGCAGCCTGAGCAAGATGAAGGGCAGCGCCTGGACCTTCAAGAGGAGCCTCAGCCACGAGGGAACCGCCTCGGACCCCGGCTCCTATTCCTCGCCTCCTCTGGCCGTGGGCTTCTCCTCTCTGCTCCCTCCCTCCACACCTCCACCGTTCTCTTCTGCAGCGTCAGTGCCTTCGACGAAGTCCCTGCAGTCGACCTCCAGGAGCAGGAGGAAGTCGGCTCACACAGTGCTCCTCGAGGACGACAGCTCAGACGAGCCCAGAAGTCGAGGAGGTGAGGCTCAGAAAAATGCTTAACAAATACGACTTTCGGCAAACATTGGAGGCTATAGATTGGTTTTATAGAAGGAAGTGTAAAGTTTTTTTTTGTTAATGCATGTACATGTAAACAAGGGTATTAGGTTTTATTTAGACTGACTTAAATTAATGCAAAAACATTTTTTTATTTATTTGTTACATCTTTGAATCAAAAGTTAAAACAGCGAAAGGGTAAAAATGAGAATAAATTCAAGATAAACAAAACTTCAAATTCAGGCTAGTCTAGATTACTGCTTGCATTACAGTAATCTATAATTGATGTTCAGTTCCAGCAGGAGTTGTGGAGGATGGACAGAGAGCGAGGGGGAAGAAGAGACGACGACTCTACAAGTCGGAGTCGGAGGGTTTTAGCTCCCCTCCTCCTCTGCCGCTGCAACCCAAGAGCCACAACGACGTCCGGCGACCTCTGGAGGCCAAACCCTTCCCCGTCGGCATCAGGACCATCGGCAGCTTCCACGGTGCCATGACGAACAGCAGACTCAACCACCACCTCATCCAGGCAGCGTTCGCCAACCCTGCTGTTAAAAAGCAAGAAGTGCAGACCATGCACCGGGTTCAGACGGTGATGCACGGCAACATCGCGACTTTCCGCCAACAGAAACCTGCACACATTTCTCCGATTGCGCAGAGAGGCAGGCGGAGGGCTCACATCTCGCCGGTTTTCTCCCCTCTGGTGGTCGGAGGGGAGAACTATAACCTGGCCTCACCTTCAGTGAGGATCCGCACAGAGGACCGAGGCAGGGTGCAGTTCAACAGATTTCACCATCCAGCAAAGTAAGATGTTTGGGGAGGTTTGTGCCTCCAAGCTCCTTTTTATTTGTAGAGTATTTGGGTGATTATTGTAGCTCTGAAATTATTCTGAAGGCATATATTTCACCACTGGGAGTCACCAAAGTCAGAGATCTTCAAATCTTACAGTAAATGAGGGTTTAATATTTCACAAGTTTTCATGCATTTTTTTTCAATGCAAAGTAAATCCAGAAGTGTCAAATAATAAATAAGCACAGAAGAGAGTTAATTAATATCTGCTAAATTAATTCACACTGCCTACACTGTCAGTGGGTGAGTATCTATAAATAATCAGGTTAATTGTAAACTAATGATTAATATAACAAGGAATGTAACAGACACACTTTATATCACCACCCAGTCTTAATTCTCATCTTTCTTTCTCTCTCTTTGTTTTTCTTTCTCCTTGCAGTAAGCGCAGAGGCCGCCCCAGAAAACACCCACTCCCTCCGCGGCCTTCCCTGCCCTCTCCATCCTCCTCGTCTTCCTCTTCCACCTCCTCGGCCTCCTCCTCCTCCGGCTCCTCTTCTTCCTCTTCTGATGATGAGGACGATGAAGAGGAGGAAGAGGAGGAGGCGGCTGTCGGGGCGGTGGAGCCGTGCGCGGCACCGCGGTGTCGACTGCCCCAGCAGGACACGGTGCAGTGGATCCAGTGCGACATGTGCGACGCCTGGTACCACATAGACTGTCTGCACGTGGACCGCAAGAAGCTCCTGAAGGACCCCAACGCTGACTTCCACTGCGGGTGTCGCTGATATGAGAGAAACCAAGTTTGTGACGCTGAATGAAATGAAATGCTCCAGTTTAGACTTTCAAGTTGCCCCATTTTCCCTCCTTTAAATGTTTATTTCCTTCTGCCACATTTAAAATCAACAGACCTTTCATTGAAGACAGGCTTTTTCTTCTCCTAATGGCCACTGAGCTGCTCTACTCAAGCATGCACTGCTTTTCTCTTACCTCAACAGCAGCTGGCAAGGGCGAGGAAAGAGTTTCCTTCGATTTTGACATCTTGATCTTCCCAGGTTTGAGGATTTGTGATCCAGCAGTCACACAGCTGCTTTGCAGAACTCTTGCCCGCTCAGTTTCAGGGCTCAGGCTTTGGAGAACCAAAACCGTAATGAAATGTCTTGGGTCAGATTTCATTATGGCACTGACTGCCCGGAGAGGTGCGAACAGGACGGGAAAACATGATGAAATGTTTCTGAGTACACTCCCACCGTGGCTGACCAGGAGGCAGCATTCAGGAAGATTAATGAAATGTTTCAAATCAAGTCTATACAGGGCGATAACACTCTCTCAGATGTCTCAGTGCAGCCACCTTCTGTAGTTTAGCGATCAGGCCAATTTTTCAGGGCAGAACAGGACCTTCAAGTGAACATTAACTGGCCAAAAAAGCTCTACCAGCCCTCCCAAAAATAAATCAGCACTGGGCTGGTGTTTTCCCACCTCAGCGATAATAAAACTGGATGAAATGTTTCAGTGCAGCTTTCCTGGGTGGCAGCAGCTGTCTAGGAGTGGGCGTGTGATGTTTCAAGACAATTAAACGGCAGAAAAATGTGTCAGCAGACTTCCATTGTTGCTGCTGATGAGAGGTGCTCTCGGGATGATAATCAAATGTTCCACGGCACTTCAGCAGAAGCAGCTGCTGGGTTTTGCGGGGGGGGTGTGTACAGTTGGGACTGTTATGAGACGTCTGAGTGCAGGCTGGCAGTGTGTCTGCTGCTGGTTTGGGAGTCATTACCTTTGAAAGTGTCATGAAATATCATCTGCTGATGTAACAGGATAAACGGATTGAGAAAATGAGCTTGTCGCCTCTGACTTACCGGTTGGTGATGATGGACGATTTTAAGGTCTTCTCTTCAGATGAAGGTGAAGATTGAAGATTCACCTTTCATCTGAACTCTTGGGCCAAAGTGGACACTTATGTTCTGGGTGAAATGGGCTGGACCTGACGCAACTGTTCTCCACTACAGAACAGTAGATGTACACATGTTTGCTCAGGTGCTGCTTGAGTAGAATAAAATCAAAGCGTAGAACTCCAAATTCTTCTCTTAAGCACCTTTTTTCCATTATTTAATTCTAAATCTTTACTTTGCTTGCCTCATATGGACAAAACCGGTTGCTTTGTGATTCTAAAACAGCCTTTTTGAGCAGTTAAACTTCTGCACCAGTTGTATAATCTCTAATAGTTCTGATTCAGAGCTATTCAGATAATGGTAGTGTTAAAAATAAACTGTCAGGGCTGGTGTTGTGCAAAGTAGGCTCTCCTAATTTTTACTTTTATCACACCAGTGTGGCAGATCTGTAGTTTTTTTTTTTTTTTTTTTTTTTTAAGTGAGAGGAAAGTGGGAGAAAATATAGAGAACTTAATTCTGGAGCAATAAAATGAGTAAAAAAAACCCTAAAAAATATGTATTTTTTTAACTTGTTAATGGCTGACTTAAGACTAATGATTGCTTCAAGCACAATCAATCAGATTTTATTCATCTTTGGCTTCACTGAAGTTTGGATACTGATTACCAAGTGACTCTCGTGCTACTTTACTGCCTTCTCTCAGCAGGATGGATAGCTGTGCTAACTAGATCACTGCTTGAGTAGCTTTCAATGTCAGAAAGCCAGCACCGTTGAGAAGAAAACATCTGATAGCTGGTTTTGGGTCCATTTATTTTTAATTCAGTGGATTCATTCGGAAATCCAAAAATTAAATCCAAAAAAGTGTTATTCAGTGAGATCCATAAATCTGAGTTGAATGTTGAAGGCTCAAAAGTCTCCAGTTTCACTTCGAGTATTTTCACTGATACAACATATCTCCATATTTTGAATAATGTGAGGTTACAGTACACCACCTCACTGCAGTAATACAATATCAATTATATAGTACTTTAACATAATAGCCTAATACTATAATGCAGACCTATTTGGTCCTTCTGAGCAGTGGTTACTCAAATGTAAAAGGAAAAAAAAAATCTGTTGATCTTGAGTCAGTTGTATTTTGGTTTTGTGTGTCTCTTGTTTGCTGTCTCATCCGCCAGTGAGGTGTAAGTGTTGCATATTCTTGTCGCTTAGATTTTGAGCTGTAAAGATATTTAAATGCCTGTTTATGTCTTTCAAGCTTCTCTCAAAGAAATGTGCCATCTTCACCCACATCACTCAATCGTTCACAATGTCATGCTGCTGCGCTGGCGAACCTCACTGTGCACCTGTTTTTAACTTTCATGTGGCGTGCCAAAACAGTTGTAAAAAGATGTGCTGAAACATGCAACTGCTGAGAAACTGATGCTTTTTAATTGGTGAGAAAGCATAAAATTGGCAGTGTGACACAAACTATAAGACAAAAAAATGTGCGTGATACCCGAAATGGAGCAAACACAGTTTTCAGTGGAAATGACTCTTATGGTTGTGATTCAAAATGCAGCAACAAAGAATGTAGAACTTCATTTACACTCACACTGAGTTCATCCAAAGTGTTGCACTGTTGTTTCTACCTCAGTTATGATGCTGTCAACACTTTGAGGCAATACAGATGGACAGTTTTTCTCTTTAGACCAACCCGAGGGAACCTGTAGAGCTGCAACAGTTAGTCGATTTAATAGATTAGCCAATTGACTAATGAATTGTTATTAAGGTTCATTTATCAGGCAAAAAGGGCAAAAACATGCAGGTTACAGCTTCTCAAAATGGATAATTTGCTGCTTTTCTGTTTCATATCATTGTAAATTTAATATATTTGGGGTTTGGACTGTTTGTGGAACAAAACAAGTGGTTTGAAGATGTCATTTCTGGACAAATCACAATTATTTTCTGACATTTAGTAGACTTAGATATGAATAGATTCATCACAAAATGTACAGATTATTTGATAATTGTTTGCAAAATCTGTAAAACTCCAGTGTTTACTTTCTTATCGTGTCGCTCTGAGGAGGTTACTGGAGTACATAACCACACATGACTTGAACATCAGTGAACCTCAAACATTCACGTTTGATGAAAAGACAACTTCCCTGCTGTATCTGTTCTGTAGTTGTGGTCAGGAAACGAGCATTATCACAGCCATCAGCTGCCCACAAGCGGCTACTCTCTATTTGATAAATCAGCCTTTCATATTGATAACCACATCATTAACAGCTCTTTGCAGATTTGCATTATTTCCCGCTTGCATTGCCTCAAAGACAAACAGTTTTCTTGTAACATCTCTCAAGGCTTTAATGGATTAAAATCCAATTTGTGGCCAATATTTTTGATCAGCGCACTGTTGTGGCCGCCTCATTGTTTCAGTATTTTGTTTGTGCCATCTGCTAAAGCTACCGCACACCCGAGCACTGACATTTTTACTGTGAGTTAATTCATCTGTTTACTGTTAAAAGGACTCAAAGGTGAAAGCGCCCTTAGTGATAAAAATTCAGAAATGTAGTTAATCAGAGGGATTGTTTTAGGAAATCAGGGCGTCATTCATTCTCTCAGTTCACAGGACTCTTCTTTCACACTGCCTTCACTTTAATTTTCACACTGAAATGCAGAAACACAGCACACTTTGACTTTGTTGGTTTTTTGAGGTTGTACAGAATTAAACCAGTTGTCATTATTCTCTGAGATGTCATCAGCATCAAAGTTATCAGGGAAGAAATAAAGAATATTCAGAATTCGTATCTTTTGCGTTGTCTGTCTTGTTTTATCTTCACAGCTGTACTTTTCTCTGTTCCGAAGAAGATATCCAAAGAGGCCGTGATCTAAAAACACATTTCATTCATTATAGTGTCTTCTTACGCTTCCAGTGCCAGTCGTGACTGATGAAACATTGATATTAGAAATGTACATTTTGTTTTCCTCCAGTCTTTTTCATATAGCGTTAAAACAAAAGCTTGGCCGAGATGTGATATATCCGGTTATTATTTTCTTTGTTGTTTTCTTTGAAAGGATCACAGCAGAGTGTGAGTCAACAAGCAAAGACAACATCCTCATAATTGAAGCCCATTATCTCACATCTCACTTTTTTTTTTTACTTTATAATGGATTTGTCTTATCTGGCTTCTCCATGCGGGAAGTTACATTTATTCACAGAGTTGCTGCTTACAGCCTTTCTAGTTGGATGGTTTAAAGAGAAGACATGAGCAGACTTCTTTTACTTAGGTAAATTGACCTGCTGACACAGATACTTATGGATATTTGAATGTAGGGTAACATCATCATCACATATTGTCATTTAAATTCACTTCGCGACTGTATTCAGGCTAATTTAAAAACACTGAAAAGAAAATCTAAATGTAACATATAAGAAATTGTGGACTTCCTCTGAAATAAAACTTGCTGAAGTTGAATTGTTATGCAAACTAAGTTCCTCCGTGATGATGTTTTCACATTATGTAAAATACTTTCTCACTGTTGTATTTTTTTCCTTGAAATATATATTATTTACCGACACTGCACAGGATAAGAGGTTTAGAGAATGGATATTTTTATTACCATATTCATGGCACAGTTATGAGGATTAGTTAGTTAAAAATAGATGGCAGCATCGTTGGATTGGATACTGAACAATGTACAGTAGGCAAATCTGAAGGGTAAAAAGATGATTAACAGAATAGGAGAGCAGATAATGAATATTACACAAGATTATGTTTATTTTGTCAGACTATCCTTTAATCTGCTTATTTTCTTGTGAATTACGCATAACTTTACACATATACAGTGCACTATATTTTAAGGCGTTTCTTTTCATTTATTCTTGTAAATGAGGTGGACAAAATATTGTAACACACCTTTCATTATACTGTAATGCAGTCCAATACGGCACCACAAAGTGTAGCCTCACAACATATACCGTAAAGCTGAATTAACACTCAAGCAAGCATTTCAGGTGCGTTGCTGTTAATCACAGGGTTGTTGTAAAGCTGCACTGCAAGCAGTGGCAGTCAAAGAAGCATTATAATGTGTGACAAGTAATGAAAAACAACATGTGTGATTGACAGTGTGTAACGATCTTATTTCTGTTTAAGTGAGGCTTGCACACAAACTGACTGGTGTACCCTGCAATTAGTCAACCTGTGATTAGCTGTGATATCGATGAGAAAAATGAGCAGTCGTGCTTGGTTGTAACTCCTCCTCGCTTGTTGTTAAGGCGAGGCAGCATATGCACATCAAGGATTGATGTGTCCCATTCTCCTTAATCATGAAGAGGCTGAAAAGATTTCACTGATCACTTACCTGTGTCATTAATCATTTTGATGTTTCTGTAAACTATTCATGTTTAAGGTGTTGACTTTTGACCCTTATGAAGTCAGACAGGTTAGTGACGTAGTAAAAGTAACTAAAATCAATGTTTTTGTTGCACTTTTCATATGTTATTTGCTGGTTATGAAGCTGTTTCGAGCCCATTGTTTATGTCAGTTTCACCAAAAGGTTCACAGATTTCACAGATTATAAAGAGCTGTTACATTCGCTGAACCTCAATTCTTCATGTAAATATAATACATCATAAATCTCAAAGGTAATTACTTACAAAATGTCGTCCCAGTTATCCTGAAAAAAAAAGTGGAGGAAGTACAAAAACGCAGTTGTTTGTGGTAACAAAATGTAGAAGATGTATTTTGGATTGTGCGGCTGTTGGGCGGATGAAAAAAGTGATTTTGTTTCAAGAGGAAAGAGGCTTAAAATAACCAAAAATGTGTTTTTATATCTGGCTGTCATTTTTCTCCAGAGTTTTAAGAAGCAGTCTCATTTTGGAGCAAAATAAGATATGAGCATATACACACATAGCACACACAAATGTTTTGAAATCACCCCATATATAATGCAGCATATTTGTCACTCACGACTCCAGGAAACCTATTATACGATCATAAGCCAGTGGGTAGATATCGAGGAGACAGAGAGATTATGGAGCTGAAATGCCCGCTGCCTTGACCTGCAAAGGTGGAGGGAGACAATTACATTTGTCCGAACTGTTTCCATAGCAACATTCCTCTCTACTCTATTTATTTTTTATTTTTTTGGGGGGCGCAAGAAGCCACTCAGCAGTCCATCCTGTAATAACAGCCGGCACCTTCTTTCACCTGATGATGCATGGACTGAGACAGAGAGAGGGCGAAAAGCTGATTCTGTTCATTTGAAACTGAGGTGGAGAGAGTGGAGAGTGGTGTGTGTGTGTGTGTGTGTGTGTGTGTGTGTGTGTGTGTGTGTGTGTGGGGGTGTGTGTGTGTGTGTGTGTGTGCACGGGATACAGATACAGGACACACACCAGTAATGTGAGGGCGTTTCCATCTCGTCTCAACACTGGTAAAGGGAGAGGTCACAACGAGATGAAAGCAGAGGGCTGAAAACTGTAAAGCCCATATTCCTCATCCAGCAGGGCACACACACACACACACACACACACACACACACACACACACACTCGCTGGATCATTTTTTCTCTATCTGTCATCAGAGTCCTGCAGCAATAAGCCTGCCCTCCTGGTTCTGGGTTGCATGTAATGTTGCTGAGATTCTGCTGTTACACTGATGGAAAAGAGCTCCCGTCAAGTCACCAGACCGTGGCTCTGAATCTATTTGAATCTAATATACTGTAACAATGTACGTGTTCCTGAACGCACCGTTTACAGTAACTCTTAACTTAATGTAGGCAGACGGGATCTTTTCTCCAGAAATCATTAGCAATCCATCAAAATGTAACAAAATCGAGAAATAAAATGTGTGATTTTTACAACATTTTACAGAAAAAAATAATTGTCAGAGAATATTGTGTTAGTTAGTTATAAGAGAGGACACCATAGAATGAGTTATGAGTGCTGGGTAATGCACGCAGTGGACTATTACAGAGGATTGGTAATCTTTAAAGGACAACCCCCTCACTTCACACTCCTTCATGCCTTCCAAGCGTGTAGGAGAAACTACAGTGGCTGTAAAATGCACAAAAACGGCACAAACAACAGCCTTATCTAGAGCCAGTGTTTCATTTGTCCATTGTGGGCCACTGTAGAAACATGGTGGTATAACATGGCAGCCTCCATGGAAGGCGACCTGCGGCATCTGTTGATATAAACGGCTCATTAATAAATTTACTGACTGCTCACTAATGAAAACATCATATTCAATTTCTGCCAAAATATCCTCCTAAATGTTTCAAACTGGATCTGTAACTGATTCATCTTCATGAAACAGACAGAATATACAACCCACTATTGTTCTGGAGCTACTGATGTGTTGAATACTGAGAAACATCATTATCTGTTATTGATTACCGTTACAAAGTCTGCACTGATCACAAAGGAGAATGTGCAGTGATGAAGTAAATGAGAGTTACAGTAAAGCTTTTTAGGCTTCACAAGGATTCCAGTGATTTAGTTTTCTAAACAGCTATAAAGCTGGTGGACTCACTGGAGACATATTTTAAAAAGAATGTTTTAAATGGATGCAGCAGTGGCCAAAACATCCAGGCTTTTAGTCTCTTGTATCGGTCAAGCTCCAAAAATGCTGGATCCTGCAATTTCCTTAATGCAACCCAGCTGCATCACCTCCCGACACACAGAAGACATTTTTTGTGGTTTCACCAGCTGAGTATAACTACTTGTGATGAATAAACTGAACTGTATGTGTAAAATCAGTGGAGTGCCCCCTTAAAAAAGGATGGATCACATGAATGAGGCTGAGCATCAGCAGTTTGCATGTCTGAATCAGAGGCTACACTCATAAAGCAGGGCTGAAAAGAGTGAAATCCTTTTGGTTGTTCAGAATCAACTTCCAGAAGAATACACCTCAAACCTACAAGAGATGCAAAACAAACGGGTGCAGCAGTGTCTTTCTTGTTATTCCTTCAGTTGTTGTTTCCCTGTGGCCCAGCAGGGGGCAGTGTCGTCCTGGCACATTCACCACAGAGGACAGTAAGCAGGCAGCAGAGGATGAACACAGACAAACGATGTGTGCAGCCACTCCCTGCACATTACACCCAGAATGGAAATCATAAGTTTTCATTATTCCTCTCCGGGAGCACAGGCAATGTTATTTTTTAAATGCTCATGAGTGTGAGTGGAGTCAGCGGTGGGAGGTGTTGGTGGGGGAGGTGGGGTTTTTGGTTGGTGTGAGATGGTTGTATCCGACTGGTTTTAATGAATCACAGAGCCCAACTTACTGGCATTTTCTTCTCATTCAAATCATCCTGCACACAGACGCTGGATCTGTGTTCACCTGCATGTTTTTTTTAGCTTGTTCTTTATTTCAAAGTGTATGTGTGTGTGTGTGTGTGTGTGTGTGTGTGTGCGCGCTCCTCTGTCTTCTTCTGTGTTTGATAAAGATGTGGTGTCTCTTTTTGATTGTGCAAAGCTGAATGACAAATCTGTGTTTATGCATTGCTGCATCTTTCTCTGTATGTGTGTATAGGTGTGTGTATATATGTGCGTGTATGTGTGAGAGTTGCCTGTTTATGCATACCTATGTCTGCACACACCACTAAAGAGCAATGAGGCATGTTTGTGCGTGCGCTGAGGGTGAATTTCTGCACTGTGCACACGCAAATGTGGGAGATGTTTTTATATGTGTAGGTGTGTGTGTGTGCTGTAGGTGTGTGTGTGTGTGTGTAGGTGTGTGTGCGTGTGTGTTACAGGCAGTCTTTCTGGCTGAGCCCTAAAAGGATCTCAAGAGCAGCTGTCGATCC